AGTTGCTACACCTCTACCACACCTTTTACCTGTGCTACTGGTAGGTCATGTCTCATGCCTTATTTTGTAGTTTCTGGTTTTCTTTGCTTTTTCCCCACCTCCCCCTACTCCCACTGTTCCCTCCCTCCCAAACACACACACACACACACTCTCTCTCTCTCTGTCTCTCTCTCTCAGGGTAATTACTCTGTGGTTAGAATCATGCTTTATTGGCAGATTATGTTTTTGCTGGGCTAAGTACTTATGGAATAGAGAATCTGCGGGAATTCTGCATGCTAAGATGAGAATGAAGTCTTCTACTTTTTCAGTGTCCTTTGTCCTTACACATTTTCAGAATCTGATTTTTTTGTCTCTCTCTAATCTGAAAGAAGATTTCAGCCCCACTTTACTTTCACATGTTTCCAGAATACTAGCAGTATAGCAGAGGGTGAAGTCTAGCTCTGACAAGATATGTATCATTCAAATAACAAACTGGTGTGGTAAAGTACCTAATGAACAATCAATGTTGCTTGCCATGGAGACAGTTTTTAAAGTAACTGATCCCTTACTATGTGCATATAATTTTTTATTAGGTAATTTTAACATTTTTACATCATTAATTTTGCATAGCAGGTTACCGCTAGATGTTGGTATGATGCAGCATTGACACTTTTAATTAAGACAAAAAAACATACTTTTCCTGTCCCTGATCCATAACATTTTATTATATTATTAAACTTTGTATATCTACAGATATGTGCACTGTGTTGTTTGTTTCACCATCCCAAGTTATGTCTTGGTCTATCACCATTTATCTCCCCATACCCACCTTCACCAACCTCACCCCCCTTCCCCCATCAATCACCACAACTATTGTCAGTATCAATAATTCATTTTCTTTTTCTTCTTTTTGCTCAAATCTTCTATCTCCCCAGACCCTGCTCCGACAGCTGTCAGCCTTCTCTCTCTCTATGAGACTGTCTCTATTTTGTATGTTCATTAGATTCCACATATGAATGAAATCATATGGTATTTGTCTTTCTCTGACTGGCTTATTTCACTAGAATAATGATCTCCAGGTCTATCCATGTTGTGGCAAAGGGTAAGATTTCCTTTGTTATGTCTGAGTAGTATTTCATTGTGTAACTGTACCATAGCTTTTTTATCCACTCATCTACTAATGGGCATTGGGACTGCTTCCAAATCTTGGCTATTGTAAATAGCACTGCCATGAACATAGGGGTACATGTATTCTTTTGAATTAGTGTTTTGGCTTTCTTTGGTTAAAACCCAGAAGTGGGATTGCTGGATCAAAAGGCAGTTCCATTTTTAGTTTTGTGAGGTAATGCCATACTGCTTTCCACAGTGGATGCACCAGTCTGCATTCCCACCAACAGTGCATGAGGGTTCCCTTTCCTCCACATCCTTGCCAGCACTTCTTGTTTGTTGGTTTATTGATGATAGCCATTCTGGCAGGTGTGAGGTGATAATCTTGCTGTGGTTTTAATTTGCATTTCTCTGATGATAAGTGACTTTGAGCATCTTTTCATATGTCTATTAGCCAATCTGTATGTTCTCTATGGAGAAGTGTCTGTTCAGGTCCTTAGCCAATGTTTAATTTCATTTTATTGATGGTTTTCTTTGCTGTGCATAAAGACTTTTTAGTTTGAGGTAATCCCATTTGTTTAATACTATTTTTTTTATGCCCTTGCCTGAGGAGATATATCAGAAGAAATATTGCTACAAGAAATGTCGAAGATTTTATTATCTATAATTTCTTTTAGGATTCTTACGGTTTTAAGTTTTACACTTAAGAAATAAGTGGTGTATGCTTCCACTTATTTGTATCGTCTTCACTTTCTTCAGTGTCTTATATTTCTGAGTACAAGTCTGTTACATCTTTGGTTAAATTTATTTCTAGGTTTTTCACTCTTTTTTGAAGCAGTTATGAATAGGATTCTTTTTTAGTTTCCCTTTCTGATTGTTTATTGTTGGTGCATAAATATGCAACTGATTTCTGTACATATATTTTGTGTGCTATTACTTTACTGAATTTGTTTATCAGTTCTAATACTGTTTTGGTGGACTCTTTAGGGTTCTCGATATACAGTGTCGTGTCATCTGCAAATAATAGTAATTTCACTTCTTCTTTTCCAATTTGGATGCCTTTTATTTCTTCTTCTTGTATGATTGCGGGGCTAGGACTTCCAGCACTGTGTTGGATAATAGTGGTGAAAGCGGGCATCCCTGTCTTGTTCCTGATCTTAAAGGGAATGCTTGTAGTTTTTGCCCATTAAGAGTGATGTTGGCTGTGAGTTTGTCATCTATGACATTTATTACACTGAGGTATGTTTCCTCTGTTCTTAGTTTTCTGAGTGTTTTTATCATAAGTGGGTGCTGAATTTTATCATGCTTTTTTTTCATGTATTATATAATCATGTTTTTTTCCTTCATTTTATTTATGTGGTGTATCACATTTTATTGATTTGCGGATATGGTACCAAGCTTGCATCCCTGGAATAAGTCCTACTTGATTATGGTATATGATTTTTTTAAAGATTTTATTTATTTATTTTTTAGAGAGTGAGGAAGAGAGGGAGAGAAAAATCCATGCGAGAAACATTGATTGGTTGCTTCTTGCCAAGCCCCTGCCAGGGACTGAATCTGCAACCCAGGCATGTGTCCTCACCGAGAATCAGAATCTAACAGTTGACCTTTTGCTTTGTGACGAGATGATGCCCAACCAACTGAGCTACACCAGTCAGGGAGGTGTATGATCTTTTTATTGTATTGATGGATTTGGTTTGCTAATGTTTTGTTGAGGACTTTAGCATCTACGTTTATCAGGGATATTGGCCTATAATTTTCTTTCTTTTTAGTGTCTTTATGTGATTTTGGAATTAGAATAATGCTTGCCTTGTAAAATGAACTTGAGAGTGGAGTGTTCCTTCCTCTTGGATTTTGGGATGGTTTGAGAAGAACAGGTGAAATGTTGGGTGAAAATTTACTTGTGAAGCCATTGGGTCCAGGACTTCTGTTTGTTGGGAGCTTTTTGATTACTGCTTCATTTTCACTAGTTGTTATCTATTTATTCAGATCCTCTGATTCTTCCTGATTCAGTTTGAAAGATTGTGTATTTCTAGGAACTTATCCATTTTTGTCCAGATTGTACACTTTGTTGGCATATAGTTTGTAATGTTGTCTTACAGTTCTTTGTATATTTCTGGAGTCAGTTTTTACTTCAGACTATTTTTTACTAGGCTGTTATTTGCAAGTACATACCTTTTTTGTTTTCAAAAATATTGAAATACAAATAAAATAATTCCTTACAGAACTTAACAAAGATTGCCTGTCATATACAAAGTTACTGTTATTTTGCTGTTAAATATGAAATTACAAACCTTGTGATTTATAATTTTCAGTCTAACAAATTTTAAAAAGTAGCCTATCTCAATCACTTAAGGTTTTTGGGTGTGGTAGTTGATTTGTTGTGGTTGTGACTTTTATTGGTTCTTGATTTTTTTCCAGTTGCTTCCTATAGAAGTTGTTGAACAAGGATTGTTTGGGAATTCTGTCTTGCTGTCTATAAAATTTGGTCTATGGACCATAATAATTATAAAAATCACAAAGTCTTTTTCTAGGTTTTTAGATGCTAACATTTTAATCCACTTTTATAGTGTTCTGTGTAAGAACTAATGAGTAATGGAATAGATTTGGGGTTTAGTTTAGAGAATTGTAAAGTGACAGTTATATAATTAGAAAAAAACATTATTAAATTGAAAATTCCCAACAATCAAAGCAGTATTGAATCAAATTATAGCATTTGGATTTAATATAGAAACTGAATTTCTTATTGACAGCAATTGCAATGAAACTGTATAACAAAGATAGTGTTATATATCACAGTGATTTCTGTAAACTGAAGTGTGTTTAGATTGATGTCTGGTTAGGTCAATGTTTAGTCGATTGTGTTTATTCAAGTTACCTAACATGTGTAAGTATTGTTTCGTGGGCTCTCATGCAATAATGCTAGGTTGCCAGATGTAAGTATATCTATAGATATATCATGAGACAATACATTATCGTCCCATTTTTTCATGCTTTATTGCATCACAGGTTTAAGTATTTCCATGCTCATTATAAATAGATGTGAAAATACTGATTTACCATAAGTAGTTTTATCGATATTTTGTTTTAAATTGTTTGTATGAGTATTTTGAAGTAAATTACAGAGAAAAAGTTTCTAAAAATCTCTCATGTACCACTGAAATGGATTTTTTCTTGTTTAGGTTATAAGCCACTTCAAGTCTTTGCAAATAAATAGTCATGTATCTTTGCATATTAACAGTAGTAGATATATGAGAGAAGTTGTTTTGTGATAAGTAACAAATTACCACGAAAATTAACTTAGTAGCACAGCAGACATTTATCACCTCATGACATTTATCATTTCTGTGGGTCAGGAATTTAGGAGCAGGTAGCATAATTCATCTCTTCCTCATTGATTTGGATGCCACCACTATAAAATCTAAATTCTGTGTATGTTTGGGTCTATCTCTAGACTTTCTTTTCTATTGTTAAAGTAATTATTGAGTGGTTTATTTTTAAGTTTCTCTTTGTTACACTCCTTTTCAGTGTTTTTCTGGCTTTTCATCTAGTTGGGAGGGGATAAAGCCTTTTGGTATTTTTATCATACCACACCAATTATATCAATTTTTGATGTTTTGAAATTATTTTTCCTTTGCTATAATTTCTCTTTTTAATAATAATTAAGCCTGCTGAATTCTTAAAACATGTATTTGGAAGGATACCAAATGATAACAGCATGCATCATCATGTAAAGTATATTAATATAAAGGAGAATTTCTATTTCTTCATTGCTTCCTACAAGCCTTCTGCAATCTTTTTACATATATTAACTCATAAAACTACTTACTATGTTAAGTCAGTTTGTAACGGGAATTTGTAGAGTGGGCAATTATTTATGGTTAAATTTCTTTCAAATTGCTTTCTTCCTTTAGCTGTGATGCAGATCCATCAGCCCTAGCAAAATACGTTCTTGCTTTGGTGAAAAAAGACAAAAGTGAAAAAGAGTTAAAGGCATTATGTATTGATCAACTAGATGTATTTCTTCAAAAAGGTAAGATCAGTGGTTTAAAGATGCTACTTTATTTTAATAGGTTATTTAAAATAAGATTATACAGCTTTCCATGAAAGCAGCCTGAGGTGTCCTTTGAAAATGGTTTGCTATTCACTTGACCTAGAAAACCTCAAAAAATCATGCAGATCAAGAGGTTCAGATCTTTGTGTTCACTTTAAGAACCCTTGTGAAAGTACCCTGGCCATCAAAGGTTTGCATAGCCAAAAAGCTACCAAATACCTGAAGGATATCACTTTATAGAAGTAATGTGCCCCATTCTGTTGTTACAATGGTGGAGTTGGTAGATGTGCCCAGACCAAACAGGGGTGCTGAATGTAGGGTCCGTAGCCCAGAAGAGTGATAAATTTTTGCCACACATGCTTAAAAATACAGGGATTAATGCGGAACTTAAGGGTTTAGATGTAGATCTCTGGTTGTTGATGACATTCAGGTGAACAAAGCTTCCAAGATGTGGCACAGAATTTACAGAGCTCGTGGACAGATGAGCCCATCCATGAGCTCTCCCTGCCACGCTGAGTGATCCTTACTGAAAAAGAGCAGATTGTGCCTAAACCAGAATAGGAGGTTGCACAGAAGGAAAAAAAAAAAATCCCAGAAAAAACTGAAGAAACAAAAACTTACGGCTCAGGAGTAAGTTCATCATAAAATAAATACTAATAGGAGTAAAAAAAAATTACCCACAGTATTAAAGGAATTCAGTAAGAGACAGGTTCTAATTGTAATGAAGTTGAGGAAACAGTATTATTGCTGATTATATCCATAGCTTATTTATAAAGAATGCCTTTCTTTTCCTTATTAATTTTATGCTCTTTCTTAAACCATGCTGATATTTTTTTCTGTAAAGATTAAGAAAATGACTGAATGCTTATTAATTTAAAGATATTGCTCCCTAGGAAACTACTTTGAATGTTGTGTAGCACAGTGCTTTTTCACTATCCAGCATCTAGACAATGGTAATGTTTGTGTCTGAATATGGGGTAGAGTACATGGAAATTAGGCATGGCTGGAAGGGACTGGCTGAGAAGCTCTGGCCATTCCTGCCCCCATCACCTTGAAAATTGAGCGGATCAGCATTACCACAGGACTTGTGCCATGGCACACTGGTTAGGAAGCTTTTAAGTGGAGAATACTATCTTAGCACATGTCTTAATATGTGGGTTTTTTGTTTCCTTATTTTATTTTTAGAGACACAGATATTTGTGGAAAAACTTTTTGATGCTGTGAATACAAAGAGTTACCTACCTCCTCCAGAGCAGCCATCATCAGGAAGCTTAAAGGTAGAATTTTTTCAACACCAAGAAAAAGATATAAAAAAAGAAGAGGTAAGGATTTGTGTTAAACCTTACATTTCCTTTAAGAACATGTAAAGGGTAATTAAACTGAGTTGTATTTTCCATGTCTGTGTCACAAGTGTTCAAGACCACCCCCAGGTTCAGTGATTTCAGTAGGAGTACTCACAGGACTTAGCATGTGGTCATTCTCATGGTTATGATTTCTTTTTTTTAAATTCATTACTATCATTATTTTTTAATTTTTAATTTATTGCCTTCTGGAGAGAAGAGGAAGAGGAGGCAGGGGGTGGGTGGGGAGAGAGAGAAACATCAGTCTGTTGTTTCACCCATTTATATGTTCATTGGTTGATTCTTGTATGTGCCCTGACCAGGAATCAGACTCACAACCTTGATGTATCTGGATGATGCTCTAACCAACCCATCTACCTGGCCAGGGCCACAGTTATGATTTCCTACATTGAAAAGATACAAAGTAAAATCAGCTAAGGGAAAAAAGCATGTGGTGCAAAGTCTGGAGGGAAACAGGCACAAGATTCTGGTGTCTCCCAGTGGAGTTGCACAGGATGTGCTTAAGGAATAATAACAATATGTGTGAACCAGGGAAGCTTGTTCAAGTTCAGTGCCCAGTGTTTTTATTTAGGTCTAGCCACATAAGTGCTTTCTGCCTAATATGTTCTAGATTGCCATGAGGAAAGCAGGTGTTCACCATAAGCCCTACCATGTGCACAAACATTATAGAGATAAGTGAGCTGTTATTATCAGGGAATGATGGGAATCCTGCAGGAATAAAAGTTTGCAGGTGCCAGCCAAGGATCTACCTTTCAAGCAGGCCTTTCTGCACAGTACCGTATAGCTATGGACTCTTATGATCCGTGTTCTGTGAAAATAATTAGATTGAGAGTAGATCTGTTTGGTTCTGTTCCATAAGCATTTTGTAGGGAACAGTTTTTTTTAAGATTATATTTATTTATTTTTAGAGAACAGGGAAGGGAGGGAGAAAGAAAGGGAGAGAAACATCCATGTGTAGTTGACTCACACATACTCCCAACTGGGGACCTGGCTCACAACCCAGGCATGTGCCCTGACTGGGAATTGAACCAGTGACCCTTTGGTTCATAGGCTGGCTCTCAATCCACTGAGCCACACCAGCCAGCTCTGTAGGGAACTATTTTTAAGATAGTCAAAATATAATGACCTTTACCACAATTGAGATGACCTTATGCTTAAGAGGTTTTGAAGTTTTTACTTTTTATATAAAATTGTCCTTCTTGTTTAATAATCATGTAATAATTCAGACCTCTTCAGTTTTATATTTAAGGATTGTAATTCTAGCAAAAATTATTTGCAATTAAACTATTATATTTCTGCAGTTAGCCTAGCTTTAGTCAAACAAATCTTGGTTAAAAGTTTGGCTTTACCAGTCACTGCTTTGGACCTTGAAAACATTACTTTTTCAAGCCTTAGTTTACTCAGCTTTGAAATGGAAATACTATAGGCTCGTTGTGAGGAATAGTTAAATAATGTCTACAAAGCACCTGGTAGAGTGTGTGACGAATAGGTTTCTCAGTAAATGGCGATTGTATTAGTATTGAGAGGTTGTTGCGTGGTGAAAGATATAGTTGTGATCTTTGGATTTTTTACCCCTCATCTTTTTTCTCCCCAGATTATAATTAATACATGTTTATTATGCAATGATATATGTATATATCATATATAGATCATATTACATAATAATTCTGAAATATAATTTTATTCCAGTATACCTAAACATATTTATACACATGAATATGTATGCAGTTAGACACACACATAAAATACCCCCATTCTCTCGGCATGGGAACTAATTTTATAAATGCTTATTTTATGTCAAACAGTGTAGGGATTCTGTTAGTAAGGAAGAAAGGGATAGTATAGTGGCTATTGTGCTGGCAACTACTTACGCCATGTGGATATATACAATAATTTATTTAAGTTTTGCCCACTGATGGAAGTTTGGGTTGGTTCCTGATTTTGCTATTACAAAGTATATTTTAATTCTTTGATTTTTTTCTTTTTAGAGTGTGAGAGGAAGTGGGAGAGAGAGAGAGAAACATTGATTTGTTGTTCCACTTATTTATGCATTTATTGGTTGATTTTTGTATGTACCCTGACTGGGGATTGAACTCACAGCCTTGGCATATCAGGGCAACTCTCTAACCAACTGAGCTACCTGGCCAGGGCGATTTCTTTAAAAATCTTTAGTAAATCATGGTCTCTTGGTTTGAGAAACAGTAAGAAGTTTTCTGCCAAAACCAGTTAGTGGCAAAGCCATAGTTTTACATCTACTTATATAATAATATGTCAGGACAGTTTTTTTTAACCAATTGTTACGAATATTTATCACCGGTCTTTCAGAACTGTCAAAATGTCAGCTGGCAATCTGGATTAAAAATGCTGTGGGTATAGTGAAAGTTTCCAATTCAGCACGCACTGTGGAATATGATAATCTGTCAATATAGAAGTGCCTACGGAGGGTTTTATTTGTGCCCAGTATTTTTGGGTGAGGGAGGGTTGATGTGGGTGACAAAAGAACAAAAGTATTTATAAGAAAAAAAGTCAAACTCTTAAAATAAGGCTTTTCCGCAGTGTCAGAGTTTGATCTGTTGGTAGGATTTCCATTTAATTTATCATCCAATATAGGACACTTTTGATAGCAAGAGGCTCTTACCTGAAGGGGTGCTGAAACAGCTGGCATAAACTGGAACATGTTTATATTATCTATGTAGATTACCTACATCAGAATATCTTAGGGTTCTTATTAAAAATGCAAATCTTGAGCCCTATCACATTTCCAGAAGCCACATATTCAATATTTTCTGACTTTATCCTCTAAGTCCTTTTTTTTTCTAGTAACACCTATTAATGTCATATGGAAACAGTGTTCTGGGCAGTACATCATGGAAAATTCTGGCCTTGACAAAGTAGCACTGAACAAGAGAATGTTTTCCAGGGCTGCTTTCTATAAATTATATAATATGAATGGAGGCTTTATGGAGGAAAGAGAAATATAATAGCTGCCACACTAACTGGAGAAACTGAAGAACTGTTTTATCTTATATATTGTTTTTTTTCAAATGTTCTCCTTTGTTATGACTTGGTTAGTGCTAATGCATTCTCCTATAGTCCTTAATTTGTTCAGTGCCAAACCAAATCCATGAAAGCAAAACATGAATGTATGTTGGACTTTTGCAAGAAGGAATAAAGTTGGGTTTTCACTAATAATGTTAAAATGGGGACTCTTGCTTAAAATGTTTTTTACTACTAAATGTTACCTAAGATAAGCATTTATGAGTTCCTTTAGATTCACTTTAACTTTCAGCATGCGTGTCTTTAGTAGTTAAACTAAATGATGGTACTTAGAAGAGAATTATTTGTTTGGATGCATTTATTTTGCTATTGTATTTTCATATCCGTTAAGTCATTGAAATAGTAAAATGGTAAGGAATAACTGTTGCTAAAGTTCTACTCATTTTTTTGTATATCAGATCATAAAGGAGGAAGAGCGAGAGAAGAAGTTTTCCAGAAGGCTAAATCATAGTCCTCCTCAGTCAAGCTCCCGATACAGAGAAAATAGGTGACTAATTCATTGAACCATGTTTGGTGATTAGACATTGGTTATCTTTTATACACATGTTTAGACTTGATTATCTTTTATGCAGGGTCAAGTAATGTCTATTCTTTTATTAGTCTGAGAAAGTGTAACTCAGTCTTTTTCTACCAAGAATATCTAATTAACATTCAAAGGCCTGGAAGTGATTAGGACAGCTTGGCATTTATTAGTTATTGTTATTATTTTTATTGCATGAAATCTCAATGAGACTTTTTTTTCTGAAGTTTCCCTTTAATATAAATACATTATTTTTCATTAGGGCTTCAAAGGCGTTTAGGATACAGTACATGTGATACATGCTTATGAGAGCAGACATATGTACAAGTATGCTTTTCTAAGACTACTACATGTATAGATGCCTTTATGCATAAGACTTTGAGTTTTTCTTTTAAAGGAGTTTTAAAGTATTTAAGCAGATCACGTTTATTTTTCAGTTGTCTGAGTTTTCCATGTTTGTATTCTGATGACGTGATAAAGAATCGTGATGTTACAAGAATTAAATTACTTCTGCATTTAATTAGAGTTTTTCCTGTGTCATCTTAAAAATTATTTACACAGAAGTGATCGTATCTTTTTTTAGAAGTCGTGATGAGAGGAAAAAAGACGATCGTTCTCGCAAAAGAGATTATGATCGAAACCCTCCTCGAAGAGATTCATACAGAGACCGGTACAATAGAAGACGAGGGCGAAGTCGCAGTTACAGCAGGAGTCGGAGTCGAAGTTGGAGTAAAGAGCGGCTTCGTGACAGAGACAGGGATAGAAGCAGGACTAGAAGCAGAAGCAGAACACGAAGCAGGGGTACATCATATATGTGTATATTTGGGTTGGAATTCTTTTATTGGGAAAATACTTCTTATTTTAGGGTGTTAAAAGTTGTTTTAATTTTGTCATTGTTGTCAATTTTTCTATTTTGATTTGGTCCAAATGAATGCTTTTTTAAAATTTCTTTTTCATGCAAATTAAAAGTACAATGAATTACCACTGTGTATCCATCAGCATGACCAATAAAAAGACTGACTTTATCCAGTATTGTTGAGGATAGAGATAAACTGGAAATCTTTGGAAAACACTGACAGTATATTAAAAATAAATGTAAAACTTACACCTACCAAATGATCCAGCCATTCCATTCCTAGGTATTTACCTAAGAGAAGTGAAAGTGTGTTTCCACACAAAGACTTGTACACAAATGACCATGGCAGCTTGATTGGTAATAGGCAAAAATTAGAAACAACGTAAATGTCCATCAATAAGTGAATGGATAAACAATCTGTAGTATATACATACCATGGATAAAAAGGGGAGAATTATTGATACAACAAAATGGATGAATCTCAGAATAATTATGCTGAGTGAAAGAAGTAAACAGAAAGGAATATGTATGTACAGAATTTTAGAAAATGGAAACTAAGATGACAGAACACAAATCAGTGATTGCCTGGGCTGGATTATGTAGAGGCACAATGATACATTTGGGCATCAGTGTATGTATATTGTATGTACATTATTTTGTTTGTGGTGTTTTGTTTCGCAGGTGTATACATATATCAGAATTCATTAAATTGTATACTTTAAATATTTTCAGTTAATTACATATCAGTTATACTTCAAATATATGAAAACAGTTAAAAGTTTTCATTTTAGATGTGTGTATTTGCAAGACCATGTCATTTCCAACATGTATAACTTTCCTTGCAGTATTTATTATTGAGTGGAAGATACTAAAGCCATAAAACAACAAATACTTCTGAGTAAAACACCTTTACTCAAGCTTAGATTTTAGCTACCCTTGTAACCTTTATTGTATAGCCATCTTTAGTTTAGGAGATAATTTTATAGCCTTTGTATAATTGTATAAGCCCTGTACTTGCTATTATTCTTCTTTTAGATTCCGCTGCCCTGCCCGACCCCCAATGATCTACGTGTACTAGGCCTCTCTGCTCATTGCTTCACTTAACGAGTCTCCTTAATCCCTTTCCTCAGGACCATATGCAGCCCAGTTAATTTTTTTGTTCATGTTTAATATGAACTCCTTTTTGTTCCTCTGCTTATTGAGTCACGATAATCAAATAGTGTTCATTGTAAAAAAGCATACTGGTATCTTTAGATGGATGACAGTTAAATGTTCATAGTGTAAAAAATTAGTTTTATTACATATTTTTTGTGGGCTGAAGTTATGCATATAAGATTGCAGTGAAGAAAATTTTAAAATAATTTTTTCTGTAAACAGAACTTAAAGGAAAAAACTCATTAAATAATACAGCAACTTTATGTGTAGTTTTGTAGTTTAGGTCATATTGAGCAGAGATAGCTTATCTTGGAACATGGTGTATTCATTGTTAGCTTTTAAAAGGAAAGGAGGGTTGTATAAATTTGGACATTTATCAAAACATGTTACTTCTTAGATCTGGAGCATGTGTTTTTTAAATATAGTATTATAGGTCTTTTATATTTTGTTGCAGAAAGGGATCTGGTAAAACCTAAATATGACCTGGACAGAACAGATCCACTGGAAAACAATTACACTCCTGTTTCTTCGGTACCTAACATTTCATCTGGTCATTACCCTGTACCTACTTTGAGCAGCACTATAACGGTAATTGCTCCTACCCACCATGGTAATAACACTACCGAAAGTTGGTCTGAATTTCATGAAGACCAGGTGGACCACAACTCTTATGTCAGACCACCGATGCCAAAGAAACGGTGTAGAGACTATGATGGTAAGTCTTTGACCTGTTTCATGAAGTATTGAATGAATATTTCCAGCTGACTAAATTCTGTAAGTTAAGGTGCCCATAGTTATTCAAAGACTCAACCTATTGGAAATGGTGGGAAACTAATCATAAGCACCCATGAATTCTTCAGTGTAATTGAAAACTTTCTTAGTCACCACTCATCACTGAATATCAATTTAAAGATATTTATTTGCATGTAAGTCTTAATATATTTTTGGAATTTACCAAACAAAAGTAATGTCTACAGGATTACTTATGAAGGAATCTGCTACTGAAACATTTTAGACAAAACTCACTTTAAAAATAAATGGTTACTTGTATGTAAGTAGAACCTAGAAATGTGGTCTTATCTACTTAAGAATTTTATAAATGAAGACTTAAGGTTTTACTGTAAAAGTTTTATAAATTTTATGAAAGCTATAGTTGCAGTATTCTTAAAGTTTTAAGTGAGATTTAAATATAGGAAATGTTTGTAATGAAAAACTATACAAGGCCTGTCCAGAAAGTATCCAGCCATGTAACATGAAAAAGAGAGACTTTTATTCAAGAACGTACAATATACAAGAAACATCGTACATAGAACGCTGATGCCCTTTCAAAGTAGGCACCTTGGGACCTCACACAGTCCTCCCAGTCACCATCAGCTGTCACATTGTATTTTCCTGAACTTCAGTGACAGTCTGAAATTTCTTCCCTTTCAATGGTGATTTTAGTTTAGGGAAAAGCCAGAAGTTGCAGGGCGCCAAATCTGGTCTGTAGGAGAGCTGAGTCACCTGGATGATTTGATATTTCACCAAAAACTGCATGCAGAGATGTGATGCATGAACAGGCCCGTAGTTGTGATGAGGCTGCCAATCACCAGTTGCTCCATAGCTGCAGCCTTCTGAATCATCCAAGTAATTTCTGTGGAGGAATGTTCAAGCTTAATTCAAAATTTGACACAGATTCATTGCTCTACTGGCTCATCATTTTCAATGTGATGGCTACACTGTACACATGCTCGCTCACTCAGTGGCGTTTATTGCCCCCGCTGGCTAGTACAGTGAAGTTGTTCACACGTGCATTTTAAGTACACTCTCCTTGACTGCTCAGTTATATCATGCCATGCAAACTGTCTCATATTAACAGTGGCTGAACTCTTTCTGGACAAGTCTTGTATATATAAGCATTATGCCATCTTGCTAGCTAGGTATACTCACTTGAATTTGTTGATACAGTTTTTAATGTATGTGTTAGCTATGTTACCATTTGATAAGTATTTGTAAATTACTGGAATTAGCCATTTGTTCTTGTGATATGATTAATTACACTTGTCCAGCATTTTAAAATATTCTTATTTTAAAAATATCTTACTTTTGTTAACTTAGAGAAAAATTTATATGTCCAGCACTTTTCATATTTCTATATTTTCTCACAGAAAAGGGTTTCTGTATGAGAGGAGACATGTGCCCTTTTGATCATGGAAGTGACCCAGTAGTTGTAGAAGATGTGAACCTTCCTGGCATGCTGCCGTTCCCAGCACAGCCTCCTGTTGTTGAAGGACCACCTCCTCCTGGACTACCCCCGCCTCCACCAATTCTTACACCCCCACCTGTGAATTTGAGACCCCCAGTGCCACCACCAGGCCCATTACCACCCAGTTTACCACCGGTCACAGGTAAGTAAATGTGTTTGCCTGTACTAATATGTCTGTTTATAGCCTTTTAAAAAAGTTAATAATTTGATGCCTGCTTTTATTAAAAGTATCTAAAGTAACTTTATAGATGTTGAAAATCAAGAACAAGATATTCCCATTTGGAATATACCCCAATTTTGCTTGGTTATGCCAAACCTATGGACTACTATGGTTCAGAGTGACTCAGAATTATGCCCAACCCTGATAAATACCAGCTGCCTGTAGTCCTTTATAGCTCAAGAGAAACCTATTTTAGAAAACATTAAAAGGGTATTTACCCTAGAAAACTAATAAGTTGTAAGAGCTTGGTGTTTGTAGATATTATAATTTGATGAATGAGAATATCATGTTTGGATATATAAATAACTTATTTTATTTGTTTGCTTTCAGATGATATTTCTTATTCTTTGGTTTTGACAGGACCACCACCTCCACTTCCTCCTTTGCAGCCATCTGGCATGGATGCTCCCCCAAACTCTGCAACCAGTTCTGTTCCTGCTGTAGTAACAACCGGCATTCATCACCAGCCTCCTCCTGCTCCACCCTCCCTTTTTACTGCAGGTGCAGTTTTGGCTCTCTCTGTGTTCGTGCTGTCATAGAGTTTTAGATCATAGTTTATTTGAGGAATTTTTAAATGTTTAGAGAGTGAATTGCTGTAGTAGACCTGTTTTTCTCACTAAAATGACAGAATAAAAATATAAACATGGTGAATGTACATTAAATGTAAATCCTCAGGACTTTTTTAAGAAAACTAAGTTATATTTTTAAACATTTTTATTTTTATAAAATTTACATTTTCTTTTTAAAGCATGAAATATGTTAGCTTTATGTAATATATAGCTTACTTATTCTATTATCAATATATAGAAAAATTATGAAGTTTTATAATTGTTTTTTAATTGCAGTTTTTGTATTACCAGATACATATGACACAGACGGCTATAACCCTGAGGCCCCAAGCATAACAAACACTTCCAGACCCATGTACCGACACAGAGTGCACGCACAAAGGCCCAACTTGATAGGACTGACATCAGGAGATATGGATTTGCCGCCCAGAGGTACTGTGATTCCTTTTTTAAAGTAGTTTTCATATCAAGAGTGACAAAACATTTATAAAGACCAAAAGGTCCTGCATTTATAGGAGTTGAGTAAAAGATGTTTGTGTTTGTTTCTTGAGTCCTTTGGTCTCCCATGAGAGAAAAGGTAATGTTGTATTTCTTAGGGAAAGGGGATTTTACAAAGGAACATAATTTCTGAGGTAGATTTTATTGAGTATTTTCCGTCATTTGCAGTCTTACTAGGTTCATTTAAACTCTTGACAGTGATGTAATTTTTTTTAAAGATTATAATTACTTAGATTTAGAGAGTGGAGAGGGAAGGGAGAAAGAGAGGGAGAGAAACATCAGTTGGTTGCCTTCTGTACGCGCCCCTACTGCAACCAGGGCGTGTGCCCTGACCAGAAATCGAAGTGGCATCCTTTTGTTTTGCACCAACTGAGCCACACTTGTCAGGTCCTAAATGATCAATTTTTAAAAGTCATAAGGTCATATTTGTGATGAGATTGATGGCAAAGGGAACAGTGACATGGATTTTACCACACAACCCCAATAGAAGTGGCCCACAAAATCACATTTTAATTTCAAATGTGAGAATTACTAATTCTTCTTTAGTTGGATTGAAGTGAATTGGGAGTAAGTTAAAATCCCTTTATTATTACTACATTTGAATGTGCATTTATTTCTGTTTTTTTCTAAAATATAGAATATGGAAAAAAGCCAGAACTTTGTTTTCAAAATATGAATTTAAGGAAGTAGCTGTGATAAACAGAAAATATTAATCTGTGTTTTCTTTTCTTTTCAAACAGAAAAGCCTCCTAATAAAAGCACTATGAGGATAGTAGTGGATTCAGAGTCAAGGAAAAGAACCATTGGTTCTGGGGAGCCTGGAGTAACTACAAAGAAGACTTGGTTTGATAAGTAAGCTGGAAGGGGAAATTGAGGCCTTTTATTATGCAGTAATTTGTAGAGTAGTTGGAGAATTATTATGACAGTATAGTGTTCTTTTTCAAAATAAAATGTATATAATTTTACTCTATAGGCAGTTTCCCCCTGAAATGTAAGTTTTCTAAAAATCTGTTAATGACTTGTACTTGGAAGGCATTTTCATGTAGAAATGGTGTGGTGGGTGAGGACATAAGTTTCCTCTTTCTCCCTTCTTCCACCTTCAAAAAATATTCCTTATGTTAGAGATGTCATTGAATACTACCTATATATAAAGGATAGTCATGAACTTAATATTGGGGAAGAAAGGGTGGTTCTGGGCTGGAAAGAGGCATTAGCATGGGGCATTTCCTTTTTAGAGCTAGTAAGGCATATTTTGCGGGGGAGGTAGTGAGGTAGGCTGCATAGGCCCTGAAGTTGTCAAGGAAGGGTTTCAGAGAAAGGGGTAAAGAATCAGAATGCTGGGGTGTTGATGATGATTCATTTATAAATGTTCATGTTTGAGGAGAAACTAGGATCACACATTTTTAGAACTTTAACATAATTTAAAAGTGAATAATTTCTAGTTGTGCCTCTGCCTTTAAATCTGTGACCTAAGGCGAGCATTGTGAACTTCTCTGGGCTTTAGTTTTATCCTTTTTTTTGTAAATGTCAAATGTATGGTCTACATTTAGGACTTTCTTTTGAAGTTGGGAAGTGGTTGACACAGTCACTTTTAATCAATGTTTTAAAATAGGAAAAATTTTAGTAAGCTAGCTTTTGCAGAAATGAAACAAAGGTTATATATGCAAATTGACTGAAGTATGGTGTTAGGACCTTTCCTGTTAATGATTTTAATTAAGTAGGAGTGGATTGAAAGTACCAAGTACAAATGATATGGAAGAATCCTTTTCAGTTGGCTTCTGTGAAGATGCAAACACTACTAATTTGAAGACTTCATTTTTTTTGGAAGAAAATTTCAGTTTTTATTATCAGCTAATAATTTCAGTTTTCAAAAAAAGAAACTTAAATTGTAAAAATTTATATCTTTATACTTGATAGGGAACAGGATTTATAAATGAATGTATTAATTAACTTTATTTTTCTTACAGACCAAATTTTAATAGAACAAACAGCCCAGGATTCCAGAAAAAGGTTCAGTTTGGAAATGAAAATACCAAACTTGAACTTAGAAAAGTTCCTCCAGAATTAAATAATATCAGCAAACTTAATGAGCATTTTAGTCGATTTGGAACTCTGGTTAACTTACAGGTAAGAACTGTGAAGTGATTCTGTTTTCTTTGCTCAATTATTTAGGGAGAAAACTTAATAAGAAAAATACTCTTATAACAAAATATTTTGAAAAATTTGGTAATCTAAATTTGTTAAATTGGATATGAAATAAAACTTTATATTTTTAGATGTATGATTTTTTAATAACTTTGGTACTTTGAAGAGGCAGTGGTTTTGATTGATCATATTATATGTACTTTTTACTCAGGAGAGGTTAGCATAAAATTAGAGCAAAGTTAAGTAATCACACTAGTAAACTCTAATCTTACTATAGTTTTCATTTCCTCAGTTTCTCAAAATCATTACAACAGAATGCTTTAATCAAATGCTTTTTGCTGCCTCTCTGATAAGATGCATTAACAGGTGGGACCCAAATACTGTGTAATTCATAATTAGTTTAAATATTTACTTTTTCCTGTACCACTTTTTATCATTTTTCCAAGATAAATATCAGTGTAGTTTGTATTTACTTCACCTAAAATTGGAGCTTGGCTTGAATGTCTGTAACTTGTAAGGTTATTTAGTGTTGAGTTTACATTATGTGATATGTTAAAAGTGTTGAAATAATGTTAGAATGTTTTCTTTCTCAGTTTTTATGATGCTCTTTTCAATTAAAATTATTTTCTTTATCTGATAAAAATAATAAAGTTTAGAGAGTACAACTTAAGTAGATAGTTTAGAAACTTTTATTTCTTGCCATTTAAAAATAATATAAAAGTAACTTATGAAAAAATGCATGCTTCCTTGTGGTAGGGCAACAGAGATATACCGACATGCAAACCGAAGGATCGCCAATTCGATTCCCAGTCAGGGCAAAGGCCTAGGTTGTGGGCCAAGACCCCAGTGGAGTGTGCTCGAGAGGCAGCCACACATTGATATCTGTCTCCCTCTCTTTCTCCCTTCCCCTCTCTCTAAAAAACTAAATAAATAAATAAATAAAAACAATTTTTAAAAAGTTTGTAGGTCAACTCTGTCTTCTTTACGTTTCTCTCCCCATATATCTCTAAAATATAGTTACATCATCGTTAACAGTTTATCCTGTATCCTCTAGATTTTTTTAAATCCTTACCTGAGTACATAATTACTGATTTTTAGAGAGAGGGGATGGGAGACAAATATCAATGTGAGAAACATCAATAGGTTGCCTCTGGTGTGTATGCACCCTGACTGGGGATTGAACCTGTGACCTGTTGGTTTATGGGACAATGCTTCAACCAACTGAGCCACACTGCCTAAGTCTTGATTTTTTGTTTCTAATTTCTGTATGTATATACTTATCAATCAATATGCAAATATAAAAAATACATGTTTTAAAAATATGTACCTGTCTTATATACATTACCCTATTAGTTATTTAACATCGAATACCTATGATTATTTTTAAAATTTTATTTATTGATTTTTAGATATATATAGAGAGGAACATATATTTGTTGTTCCACTTATTTACACATTCATTTGTTGATTCTTGTATGTGCCCTGACCAGGCATTGAACCTGCAACCTTGGTGTATTGGGGCAGTGCTTTAACCAACTAAGCTGCCTGGCTAAAGCCTGAATATCTTTTTATGGCAGTTGAATTGATCTGTCACATTTAGATCTAGACAAAAATTTCTCAAAATATTTTTTTCTCACATAATTAACTACAGTGGTAATATTAAATTTAAGAAATTTTTCAAAGCTGGGGGGCAAAACATGGTATCTCACTATTCAATTTGCATTTCCTTAATTAGTAATAATAAGGTTGATATTTTCTCATCTCTTTACTGGTCATTTTGCTATATCTGCATACACTTGGATTATTATTTATACAATACTTGTTTTTTAAACACCAGTTTTAATAACTTTATCCTAATAAACATATTGATGAGTTGATGTTTTAAATCCCAATAAATGCATAATTAATAAAAATGTGATTTAAAATCATCCTTGTCACAAATATTTATTGAATACAGTAATGAATACTTACTATATACTCTCTGTTATGCATGAATTATATGACTCAACAGTATTGTGTGGGTTTTCCTGTTATGGAAGGGGAAACAAAGGCACAGAGAGGTTAAATAACTTGCTCATGCTCCTGTGAGAGTAACAGTCAAGGTTTTAGTCAGGCTGTTTTAGAGTCTGTGCTCTTAATCCTTATTTCACAATATTTCACACCACCTGCAGTTTATATATCACACTTTAGAAAGTACTGCTATTATTGAAAGAACAAGAAATTTGAAGTGAAAAGCCTTGTATCTAGTACTCATTAATACGGGTCTGTAGAATCGTATACTCTTTGAATCTCAGTTTCCTTATGTGTAAAATACGACTTCTTAAATTTTCGTGTGCTCTTGGAAGTAGTTTTGTGAGAATTACATATTCGGAAGATTTTACAGATGGATGTTTTTGTAATTTTTAGTTAGAGATTACCCCCTTTTAAAGTAGTTTTACTGTCTTCACCTAGCTTTGGATATTGGCCAAAAGTCAGTCATTGACATAGGGATTATTTCTCATAGTCTGGTATTTGGGGTAAAAAATGAAGCATTTGGAATACTTGTTTATAACATCTGTGCAGATGAGCATCCTCTATTCATTGTCACATGGAAGAGGCTCTTGTTCCACTCTGCTGAACAGTCCTCAGTTACCGTTTTTTCTGGAGTGAAAGTAGGCTACGGTAACAATCTAGATTTAAGGAAATGTAAACATAGAATCTTACTTAGAAGAACCAGTATTTCACTTGTCGAGAAATTTTACTGTTACGAAGCAACAGATTCATTTGGAAATCCACTATTTTTAATATTTAAAATCTTAGGTTGCCTATAATGGTGATCCTGAAGGTGCCCTTATCCAATTTGCAACTTATGAAGAAGCAAAGAAAGCAATATCAAGTACAGAAGCAGTGCTAAACAATCGCTTTATTAAGGTTTATTGGCACAGAGAAGGAAGCAACCAGCAGTTGCAAACGACCTCTCCAAAGGTAAGGGAGATATTTGTGTGAATTAAATGCCCTTGTTAGAAAACATAATATTTAAGAGCAGAGGCATTGTGGTCAGGTAGACTTTTGAGCTAGATCCTGCCTCTACCACTGTTAAATGTATAAACTTGAGGAAGTCACTTAATTTCTCTAACCTCTTCATTCATTTTCTTTCGAAGTGAATTCCTAGTTTAGGAAATTAAAAGGTGGTTTGTGCAAAGCAATTTGAAAAGTCCTGGGTAGATAGGAGACAGTACAAACATGGTAGCTTACGTATTTCACAAAGTCAGACTGTGGGTTTACCTTGGAAATCTTTCTTTCCCTCTTTGTCTTTTAATCAGTGAATCAGTCAGTATGTAATGTTAGATTAATTGCTTGTAGAGATGTCTTAGAGCAGTCTGTTTCTTTAATTTTCTCCTGTTTATTAAAAAGAAAAAGATAGTGAAGTATAGATTTTAATTTTTTCTCTACTTTATAAGTTCTTATATACAAAGAAAAACATATGAAGAAATTTGGAAGGTGGCTAAGTTTTGATTACAAGCTGCACCTTAAGACACCCTTTGCATGGGCAGTTTAGTAAAAAAATAATAAAGGTAACTTTGCGTGCTCATGAACTAGTTAGCTTATTTAATGTTTTTTTCTCATTCTGAGGTGATGCAGCCTTTAGTCCAGCAGCCCATTTTGCCTGTTGTGAAGCAGTCCGTCAAAGAACGGTTGGGTCCAGTACCCTCCAGTACTGTCGAACCAGCGGAAGCCCAGAGTGCCAGTTCAGATCTTCCCCAGGTAAATGAACAGTCTCGCTGTTGTGTCTGTCACACAGTAGGTTCTCAGGAAATTGTTTTCCCTTGGTGATTTCAATTGTAGTTAATTTTTGTATATATTTTGTAGTTACTTTCTGTATATATTTTATATAGAAATATGATAGTCTCTACATATTTGAACTTCATCTTTAAATGTTTTTGTTACTATTATAACATTTTCATATTCTGCCTTTTCTACAGTATTTGAATCTTCAATTATTCTCTAGTTAATACTTATTTATAAGAAAGAAGTCTTTTTCATTTTGTAGAGGAGATATTTTCCAGCAAATCTGCCTGAAAAGTGAAGTTTAGTACACTAAATCTTATTTTTCCCACCATCTTTTACTTAACTAGAATTCTTTTACAGAGTTAATTATGCAGTAGCCTAAACTCAAAGCTTTTGGGACAGGAAGGCTTAAACCCTCAGGTTTTAGCATGCTTAATATTATACTGATTCAAGTTATTTATGCAGCTCTGTCAGAACTTTGCATCACTTATTCCTAACTCTCGGATTTTCTTCTCCATATGTCATTCCCTTCCCACTCCCTTCCATACTTGAGTGGCAGTTTCTTATTTCTGTACCCTCAGTCTCTGAAGCTTAGCTTTCCTTTGTCTCCAGATGTTTCAGCATTTGCTGTATAAAACAGAGTTAGGATATACTATCCTACTTAGCTAATGGATGCCACCTTATTAAAATAATCTTTTGAATAATTCCTGAAAAGTAATGTATTCAGATTCTGTTATAAAATACAGAATGTAAATTGGTAAATTATTAGTTACTTTAAAAAAAACTAATCCTATTCCAAATCATAAGCAAATGCAGTGTATTTGGTTATAAAACAAACATACTTAAGGAAAGAATGGCTTTTATTTTTAAGCTCAAGAAGTAGGCACATCCTTTATTTACTCAAATCTAATATAGAGTTCAACCTTTGTCAACATAGGATTTTAAGAATTTATGGATTCTGTATCAGTGGAGGGGACTTTAGCAACTATCAGGTTCAAACATCTGATTTTATATCATAGTTTTTCATGATTGAGTAATATTGCATACTGTTTGCTTTTTCCATACACATTTTCTTTCTGTTTCTGTCATTGAAAAAGACTCAGGTTTTGTGATAAACATCTGTATGCTTATAGTCAGTATATGTTAGTAGAATCAGAATGTTCAAAATCCCAACAGACTTATATATGTTTGGGGAAACACTGAATATTTCCATTTCAATTTTTTTAGAATGTAACTAAATTATCTGTGAAGGACAGGTTGGGTTTTGTATCAAAGCCATCTGTTTCAGCAACTGAAAAGGTAAGAAGAAGCATGATGTGTTTGTCTTGGCTTCATAAATGTTTTCAGGTGGCATCTTAATTTTTTTAATTTTTTCATAGATCCAAACTTGTGCTTCTTAGTAGTATCTATATCTCTTATTCCTACCTTTTTGCTTTCCATTTGCTGAAAAAGAAAAATATTTGCCTACCTTTTTTTACTTTTTGCATTAGCATTTTAATACTTGCCGCTCACTATAGTTCCATGTGCTTCATTCTTCCTCTTTTTTTTGTATTTATTATATTTTCTTTAGCGATATTTTACATTTTAATTTGAAAATTCTGGCAGCCAATAGAAAGGGCCATGAGCTAGGGATTTTACTGGAGTTTGAGCTTTGGCTCTTTACTTACTAACTGCATGACATTGGGCAGTGCTGTTAATCTTTGTGAACTTTTTTTTTTTTTTTCATCATAAATGGTGATGGTAAGAATTGTCCTGCTCATGGAGTTTTGTAAGGATTAAATAAAATTATTTAAAAGTATTTTGTGAGTGGATGAGGAGGCCGAGTGATTAAGGCAATGGACTGCTAAAAGTATTTTGTAAATTGGAAAAGATGACGTAAATGTAAGACTTTTATTTATTATTAACAACTATTGTGTACAGCCTGACAATACATTTAGTCTTTTTTTTTTAATGAAGGGGCAAATATTGATTAAATTAAGACCATTTATGGGCCTATCTTATAGTTCTGTATAGATGTGGGGTTTTTTTTTCCTGTTTAGGTATGAGTAAATGCCCTGATCTTTAGTCTTATTTGAGGTATATAGAATCAGAGTATTCGTATTAGATAATCTTTCCCGTTTCTATACACTCACTTGAACCCTGCAGAGGTTGAGGCTGATCTGAGTGATGGAGACGAACTTGACTTATGCTGTAATTTTTTTGACCATGACCTCTGCAGTGGTAGGAGAGTAGGAGAGGCCCTAATAGTTTTTGGTTGGCCTATACACTTGAGTTACTGAGCTAGGACTAGAATCTGGGTTTTCTATTTTTGGTGCATGGCTCTTTCCATTATGGAGGTTACATAGGAAATTGACTTCATAGGTAAATAGAACACATGCTCTCTTCACTGATTCTTTAGTATATTGTTTTCCTTATTTACTATGTAAAAACAGTGTCATTTTCTAAATTGGATTTCCCTTTTGGGCACCTTAGCATTACTTGAGGCATAATATGCCTAAGAATGATTCATTACTTCCCACATAAATTAATTTCTTATAGCCCTCACCTTTGGAAGTGATATCACCATTTTCCAATTTGTATAATCTAAAAGCCTTCTGAGTCATTTGCTTGTGTTTGTAGTCTGCATCTCTATCACCTTCAGGTCCCTGGCCTCTAGATACAGTGTCATAGCTGCCAGCCCCCTCCCTTCTCTAGTGTTCACTGCCACCATCTTGCTCTCAGACTTATTTTAATGTGAGTTCCTTACAGAAACCTTCATTTCCTCAACTAAAGGACAGCTTGGTTGACAGCTCATCATTCCTGTTACTCTGACAGCTCATCATTCCTGTTACTCTGGTTCTGTTACCTCTACTTTAGTCCTTTCTTCTTCTCGAAGGAGTCTTTTTCTACTTATTATATCTTGCTATTTTTTGTCTTATTTTTTTATTGTTTTTGGTGATAATTTTCTTGGAATATATTTCCCTGTGCCTAACTGAATTCTAGTCATTCTTTTAAAGATTGCAGACTCTCTAACCTGTTCTGTGAAACCTCCAAATTTTTCCACATGATACCCCCCTTTTCTCTAAGTTCGTGTCCCTTAGTCTGTGCTAATAAATTTAGCGGTATGTAAATATTTGCTTTGATTAGGTTTATTTTCCTTGATACTAAGTAACTAAGAAAAAAATAACAATATGAGGTCTTTTAACTTAGCGGTTCTGGAGAGGTCTAAAAGTCTGATTATGTTTGGTATCTGTTAATGTTGAAATTTGGACTCTGAAATTGAAGTTACCTGATAATAGGTTTTACAAAACTTTTCTAGTATGTTTTATTACTGCTTTCATATTTTTAAAGCATGATTTATATGGTTTTAGGATAAAAAGGGGAGAAACCTGGAACTGATAGCATAATATACTAATATAGTTACAACTAACAATTTGTGAAAAATCACTAATGGCAGTGGGCTATTTATGAAAAAAAAAAAAAAGATTTTGTAAATACTGTAAAGAATCTTTTCAGGAAAGCAATTATTTACAAATACATAACTTGCAGTCATCTTCAGTGACCCTGTTTAAAGAATAGCATTTTATTTTTGCTTGTGTTTGGTGCTGTCTCTTCCTCTACTCCATAGTGATTTTTGCTGCAGAATCTTTAGAGGTTAATTATTCAGAAAAGTCTTAGGAAGAGTAGACGAATGTTCTCCATCATCAGATATTGCTGCTTTTTAAAAATTTATTTATTGAAGGCAGGAAAAAATCTCAAAACTAGTATCCACCCAGTATCTTCTGTCATTGTTAAAGCAAATAAATACACAAATGCACTGTAAATAACATTGAGTATACCCTTCAGTGATTTTGAAAAAAAATTTAAGTTTCTATTTTTGTGAGAGGGCTAAGAGAAGAGAAACTTAAAACCAATTGATACAGCTAAATATTAAAATATTGTAGTAGCTATGAGATAGATACTATTTGACTAGAGTGATCAGTCAAATGATGTTTGAGTGCTTCTGCTTACTGTAGGGAGATGTATGAAGAATAAAATCATCTGCTGCATATACCATCCTGGTTAGTTTTCTTAAAAAGATTTAGATTGTCCACTTTATCACCTTAAAGCCCATCTAAATTCTGACAAGCAAGCTGATCACTTGAATATTTAATGTTCTTATTACCAGTTTTAGGTATATCAGACATATAGTACAGGGTACTATTGTTTCTTAGTATTTTTTGTTATCTGAAAATACATCTTTTTGTTTGTTTTTATTGTTTTTTTTGTATGATGATATACTAACATCTGTACCATGGCACTTTTAAGAGGGAAATTGTGTGGTAAAACTGAAGGGACATTGCATGCCATATAGAAACTTAATGCTGTTGATTTCATAGCTGACTTCCTGTATGATTCTGAGCAAGTCTTACTCTCTGTTCACTGAACTTTGAATGCACTCATGTAAGTTTTTAAATTTGTACTTGTGTAATTTTCCTACCTTAAATATGAAGATTAAGAAAATTTGTGATAGTTTTTTAATAACTTACTGGCTAATTTTGATTTTTTAAACTATATTGGCCTTTCAGGATTAATACCTGGATTGCTCAATTAAAATTGCTATCAAGATTATTTTTTCTTCAGAGAAATAAGGTTTTTAAAATAAATTACTATGCAGAATTTTCTGGGAACCAAGCTATTTGTAGCAAAAAATGATTACTGACTACACATTTTTCTTAGATGTTAAAATATATCTGTGCAAGATCTTTAATTCCTTTGTGTCTATTAAGCTACTTAGTTTTATTTTTTTCAATAGTACCGTTAACCGCTGAAAGTATTTTACAAATTTAACTTTAAATCATGTTATTCTCAGTAGAATTTCTATTTGGTTAGATTTTGCTATAGAAAACACATGTATATGTTACAGAAAGAGACTTTGATAAATGAACATTCGGATTTATTGAAAAGATGATTATTGCCCTGGCCGGCATAGCTCAGGGGATTGAGCGTGGGCTGCGAACCAAAGTGTCGCAGGTTCGATTCCCAGTCAGGGCACATGCCTGGGTTGCAGGCCATGGCCCCCAGCAACCACGCATTGATGTTTCTCTTTCTCTTTCTCCCTCCCTTCCCTTTCTAAAAATAAATAAATAAAATCTAAAAAAAAATAAAAAGAGAAAAGATGATTATTTACTTGAAATAAAAATTGACCATATAGTAATTATATTAATAAACTTCCTACATGTAACTCCTCCGCTACTGTATTTTCATTGCATTACAAGGCACTTCTGCTCTGGAAACCCATTAGAATGTGATGGGTTGACTTACTGTGAGTGTGATTGTGAAGCATTGAAACTGTGTTTCTTTCATATTTGATTCAAACATGGGCATTGCTTATTAAAAAGTGACACTTGGAGTACTTTATTTCTATTGCCTTCTTTTGTAGTAATTTTTACAAAATATTTTGTCATCTTCCATTCTTATCCATGACAGAAATCCATTTTCCTCTGTCTTAAGTATATTAATAATAGTTACAGCTGGTAATATTTTACATAGGAAATAGGATCAGGAGTTATTATAGATTATAACCTTTATCTTGTTAGGGAAATGGCCTTTTGTCTTAAAAGTAAAAGGTACTAGTGATGTATAGTTTAAAAACCAAACATATGATACATTTTAGCTGATCTTAAGAATTCAATATACCTTTGATACCAAACCTGGAAAATATATAATAAGAAAGGAAAATTACAAGCTAATGTCTCATGAACCAAAGGCACAAAAATCCTAGACAAAATATTAGCAGAAGTCCAGTTATATGAAAAAAATAATAATACATCCTGACCAGGTAGGATTTATTTCAGAAATGCAAGGTTGATTTAACATTTGGAAACCATTATCATTCTCTCCATTAGCAGAATAAATTGGGGTGGAGGATGGAAGGGAAGAACCCTATATGATCATCTCAGTAGAAAAAACATAATATTATAAACAGCATCACATTAACCATTCTGAAAACTAGGAATAGAAAGAAACTTGCTTAATTTGGCAAAATATATATTCAGAAAAACCATACAGCTAACATACTCAAGGATGGAATATTGAATGTTTCCTTTTGAGATCAGGAACAAGAAAGGATGTCAACTCTCACTTTTTTTCAGTAGTGTAGGGCCTCGTCAGCACCTAACGGCAAGAAAATGAAATAGGTGACATAAAGATTGGAAGGGAAGAAACAAAACTATTTACTCACAGATGGCATGATTGTGTATATAGAAAATACAAAAGAATTCACAGACAGTTGGAGTTAATAAGTGAATGAGATAAGGTCAGTGGAAATAAGGTCAATGTGTAAAAATATAGCACATACAGAAATCTGTTTGGAAAATAGAGAAGGTGTGGTAGTTTGCAGAGTCCACTGCCTGTGCTTGGGCTGTGTTCTTAGGAATTGTAGCATCTTTTCGGTTGGGCTTGTTACTTCCCTCCACTGGCTTAATTTTTAACAGATTTTCTCTTTTACCACAACTCTAACTTCTTCTTTTGAATATACAGATATTTTTGCTAGCCAAACTCTTTAACTGTCTAGACTCTGGAATCAGATTCAAATAGTGAGTAGTATTTGCAGTCATATATTTCATTGTTTTAAGACGTTCTGTTTTTACACTTTACACCTCTGAAACTGGGCTCTATTTTAGTCATTGGTGTTTATGGTTGTAATTGGCAGCTTTTTTATTCTTTAGTGGGGAATATAAAAGGATAATGTGTTTCAAAATTAGTGATGTCTTAAATTCAGTGAAATATGTTAGCTTTTGTTCTATTTTTACAAATGGAAGTTCCTGGATAAAATAAGGGAGTGGAATGTTTCTAGGAATAAAGGAGTCTTCTCATTCTTGTCAAATACGTTTATTCACTTTGAAAAGCTCTCCTTAGTCTAATATCTGATGTTAATAAAATAGCTTTGAAAAAGAACATTCCCTACTCACTGAAATTGGAGAAATGTTTAAGCAAAGAAATAATTTCTTTACTTCTGGCTTTCTCACAGCTTTTTTGATAAAATACATTTTGAAACTAGAAGATAGGCTTATGATATTTATTGTTCCCAACTGATTTGAGTACAGAAATCTTTTTCGGTTACAAGTTTTCAACTTGTTACAGAACTCTCATGAAGCAAAGTTTATGAAACCCTCCAACTCTGTTTTCAGCAGATTATCTTGTGTTTCTCCCTTTAAGGTTCTTGTCTCATCCTTTATATAATTGTACAGTTTGGTATTGTGTAGTATGTGGTAAGGTAGCATGGGAGAAATTTTTCTCTAGAATTACAAAGAATGGTGACTGAAGTTCGAGTACAAACTAAATAAATCTGTTTATCCTGTGTTTGACTGAATAAAACATTTTATATATTAGTGATATCTGACTATTAGTTTTCATTATTGCAGAAATTAGCAGTGAAATTTTGATACACATCAAATATTACAAAGAACATTTATTTTTAAACATCAGTTGTGCTGTATGGAACAAGTATAAATACAGTATTCTGGGATTTTATTTTATTTAGAAGCTAGTGTTCTCGAATAGTAGTGTTCTTGATCTATTTTATTTAGAAGCTAGTGTTCTGGAATAGTGATGAGTTACCTAAACTTTGTGATGTTCTCCAATCTAATTTCATGATAAAAGATTACAATGTAGAGTCGAGATTGCTACTTCTCTGGTACCCAAATATTTACATTTTAGTTGCTTAGAAGGTAGGGCTCTTTTTCCTCATTGATGCTCTTCTATTTATATAGTTTTTAATAAACCCTCTTTCCGGTCATGAATTCCTTTCAGACTTTGGAAGCTATGTTTTTTCCTCTGGGAATTTACATTCTTCATGTATATGATTTCATGTTTTGTTTTTATAGTATTCAAAATAGATCTCCGTGAAGGGATTCCTACACTCCTTTCCAAGAACCAGTAACCAACCGCCACCCCTCCTCCCCCCATGGAACTTAAAACATTTTGCTTGTACAGATTAAAAAGGAACCAATATACCATATTTTGCTGTATATAATGCACACTTTTTTTGCCCAAATTTTTAAGGGAAAAATAAGGGTGAGCATTGCACATGGGAATTAGCATAAAAATGTGGGTGCCCATTATACATGGCAAAATGTGGTACTTACTTGAACCTTGTGTAGAAAAGGTTGTCCGTTCAGATCTATCTATCATTGTTTCATTTTGATATAGTGAATATTTAAATAAGTGAATATTAAGTTTATATTCAGTGAATATAAGCGAATATTCAGTGAATATTCAGTTTAGTTTATTGAATATTTACACTGTGCCCTGGCACTGTTCTAGGCACTAAAGATACAGCAATGAATCAAGCCAAAAAACCCTTATTACCCTTATACATTTGTTAAGGAAATTATACATCATCAAATTGAACTTTCTCATTTTATACATAAACAAACCAAGGTCCAAAAAGGTACTTGAACTTTCCAGGGTCTCATAATTAATTAGTAGCAAGGATTAGGTCCTGGAAGAAATGCAAAGAGGAGAAAGACATTGTTTTTGTTTCAAGACATTTACTGTGTAGACAGGGAGAGAAACAATATATCATTAAGTCATATATACTAAATATCTTAATAGCTGTAGGAATAAATTTTCATAGAAGGACCTAGGTAGAAGCAATAAATGATTAGGACTTTGTTGGAGGTCTTGGCTGGTTGTGCTGAACCTGAGCTGGGCTTAAGGGAATAAGGTCACTCGAAGCAGAAGGAGCAACGCTAGCAAAGGAATGGAGAAAGAAAGCAGCAAACTTAATTTCTACACTGCAAATTACAAATTACCATGAGGGACAAAGAGTTGCAAATTGTTTGAGGGCCAGTATTCAGTTTTCTCCTGTGCCATGCTCTTAGATACAACTTTTCTGTAGTTACTTTCTAATAACTACAGTACTAGCAAATATATTCAGCAACTAATATTTTCTCAGTGATATAGGAATGACCGTTTTTTTGTGAAGTTTTTGTATGTCTGTTTTTTGTGAAGCTCTTTTCCTGTAGGTATATTAATTTAAATTTTTTTATGTCATAGCTTATCCATCATTTATACCTTTCTTTTGAAATCAAGAAATGATTTAATTATTGTATGTATGTAATATAGTTAGTTTAGTGTGCTAAATTTTGACAGAACTGCTTTAACATTGTTTTATAAGAAAACAGAACTTAGAAAAACATGGATGCTTGATACATTTTTTACAAAATTGAATTTGTATTGGTAGGTGTTATCTACATCTACTGGCCTAACAAAAACGGTGTATAATCCAGCTGCTTTGAAGGCTGCACAAAAAACTTTACTTGTTTCCCCCTCTGCAGTTGATAATAATGAAGCACAGAAAAAAAAACAAGTAAGTACAGCTATTATTGTACAAAACTGGCATATAGGAAAGCTTTTGTGCATGTATGTGTTTTGTCAGTGCTTATAATAGACTGAAAGGAGTATGTCAGCTGCCACTGAACTTTTATTTTCCATAATGTAGCAGTAAATATTAAATTTTTTTTCTTGTAATGATAGGTTGTCCTGACTTTTCAAAACTTACATATATGTTTAAGTTTTAAATAGGAAAACTTTGCATTTAATTTTTGTTGCCAAGCTTCTGCAGTTAAAACCATTTCTGTCCTCTTGAATCATTTTGTTTATTGGAAAAATAAACGGCGAGTAGTCTAATGATATTTTTGACCCCTTTCTCTAGGAAGCCCTGAAGCTTCAGCAGGATGTAAGGAAAAGGAAACAAGAAATTTTAGAAAAGCACATTGAAACACAGAAGGTAAAATATTAAGGCTAGATTTGGCAAAATATATTTTTAAATGTTATAACATTGAGTTAATTTAATCTTACACTGTATACATATTCCTGAAAAGCTTTTACTGTAATTGATCATGGAAAAACTGAAATGTTGTCAGTGATTAAGTATATTATCAATTGCTAGTATATGGGGGATAAAGAGCATACATTAAATAGTGGACTGGGAATCTGAATAGTTTAATGGAACTATGGTTATCAGATTTGAAATGAAGATAAAGAATGTTTATCTAGGTATGTTGCTGTGCAAAGTACTTTGGTTCAACAGATACTGATGTGGAGCCTTTTCTCAATATTGAGATATGTACCTTTCTTTAATTGGTTTGTGATCCTCTTGTCCTTTATTGCCTAATGCAGTAGCTAACAGCTACATCTGACTATTTACTTGAAATATGTCTAGTCCAAGTTTAGATGTGCTGTAAGTGTAAACTACATGCCAGATTTCAGAAATGTAGTATGAAGAAAAAGAGAAAAACATCTCCATTTTTGTTGAATTGGAACATTTTGAATATCTTTGGTTAAATAGAATATATTATTTCTTAAATTAATTTTGCTGTATCTTTTTATCTTTTTAAAGGGACTCCTAAAAAGTTAAAAATTGCTTAGGTGGCTTGCAGTATTTCTTTTTTATAGTGTTGCTCTGGTTTATAACATTAATTTAGTATAAGTTCTTGATCAAGTCTGGTAATAAAGGAAATGACATTTCAAAATACTGAAGAAAATATAGAAATTTTACATTTTGGTTTAAAATGGATGTCTTTTACAATTTAAATTCTGATATGCTTGAAAATAGAAATTACAATGTTTTACATCAAAAACTGTGAAGCCATCTTGACTCAGAGAACCTATGATATTGTATGGTATCTTCTACCCCATAATACTCTGCTTATCTTCTTGTTCTCCCTCCGTGTTAGGCATATCATTCCTAGGCTAGCCAGGTACTCTTTCCCTGTAACAAGTAAAGTAATTATATATCCCATATTCCTAATACCTTATTCATATGGAAGGAAAGCAAAACTTTTCTTGTAATTCATTCTGGGTTACAGATTCCATTTGGAGTGGGAGTGCTTGGAGGCAGTAATAATCACCAGTAGATTAGAAATTTTCCAACCCTGGCAGTTAACTCAGTTGGTTAGAGTGTCATCCCCATGTGCCGGGGATGCAGGTTTGATCCCCAGTTAGGGCACATGTAAGAATCAACTAATGAATGAATGAAGGCATAAATAAGTGGAATAATAATCAGTGTTTCTCTCTGTCTTCCTTCTCTAAAAAAGCAAATAAAAATTTAAGACAAAAAGAAAATAAAATTATCAGCACTATTTCAAATTGGTAACTCTTCAAGGATTGAATTGAGTTTCTTATGTTCAAATAGTAATACTATAGTTTTTAGGAAGAAGCCAAGATTAAGGCTTGAATAGAGATAGGTAGTATCACCAATCTGCTATTGTAGTGATTATAATCCTTGTTATGAATATATAAGCTATAAGAAGTATGTGTTTATTTTTATGCTTATTTGGCTGTGTTTGGATTATTAATAGGAATAAGTATCTTACATTTTTTCTTTTTAAAAATTTGTCAGATGTTAATTTCAAAATTGGAGAAAAACAAAGCAATGAAGTCTGAAGATAAAGCAGAAATAATGAAAACGTTAGAGGTTTTGACAAAAAATATTACCAAGTTGAAAGATGAGGTCAAAGCTACTTCTCCTGGACGCTGTCTTCCAAAAAGTATAAAAACCAAGACTCAGGTATTTTGTGTTGTTATTCATGTTATTCACTTAAAAAACAAAACATTACATTATTAAGATTCCTGGGTTTTTTTTTTTAGATAATACCCTTTGCTCAGAATCTGACCAATGTATGCTACCATTCTCCCCTTCCTTAATTAATAAGTAAACACAAACAGGAAAATTACTAATCTTTTGAATTCTGTGAATTACTGGTGGAATTAGAATAGTTATGGATAATCTTGAAAAGATAGCTTGAAGGTAAAATGACATAGGTACTTGAATGCTTGGCTAAGGAGTTTGAGCTTTATTTTATTAGGAATTTGTGATATAAAACATTAACAGGAGAGTAACATTCTGACAGCACTGTACAGAATATATTTATTGCACCAAGGGAAAATTCATTAAGTAACAAGTGAACAAGTTAATTTCAGATGGTAATAAGTGATTAAGAAAAAAACCAGAGTTATATACCATATTTATACTTAGTGTATGCATACTTGTATAAAATCATTTTTACCTATTGTATTTCTGATTCTCATCCAACACCATAGGATTCTTCCTTCTCTTATTCCTTATTTTATCTGCCCATTCCCATAATGACAGCTTGGTTTCCATTAACATCAATACAGTACTCATTTGCTCAGTCTGGTGATATATTCCAAATAGTCTCAGAATTGCTACTTCCAACAACTAACTAAAATAAAATTTAGAATTTATTTGTGGTCTTTATAGCCTCACAATATATTCAACTAATGGTATAGAATCAGAACTGTTGTCTAGTATTACTTTTTGTGTGGTTATATAAACTTTGATAAAGTTGAGTGTATTTCTGTATGTATTCAGTTTTGGATCCTCCTCATTCTTACTGATTTAATTTTTTTTAAAGATTTTATTTACTTTTAGAGGGGAAGGGAGGGAGAAAGAGAGAGAGAGAAACATCAGTGTGTAGTTGCTTCTCCTGTGCCCCCTACTTGGAACCTATTGCGCAACCCAGGTATGTGCCCTGACTGGGAATTGAACTGGCCACCCTTTGGTTCGCAGGCTGGAGCTCAATCCACTGAGCCACATCAGCCAAGGCTTACTGATTTAATTTTATTTTTTGAATATGTGAAACATCAACATGATTCCGAAGTTAAACTATGAAAAGGTACATAAGTATGTAGATGACCTTTCCCCTTTGATCCCTGACACTGTTCCCTACTCTTCCTTTTTTAGTGTATGTGTGTATGTATTTTTTCCTACATAAAAGCATACTATCTATTGTTAATACCTTGGTGTATTGTTTTTTTCTAATTGTTTCCTGAAAATTACTTTATATCAGTTCATAGAACTTTCTGGTCTCTATATGGAAAATGAATTATAGGAAAATCAGTGGAAGTAGGATCAAGTTAGGAAGCTATTGCAGTAGTGTAGATGAGAGGTGATTGATGACTTGGACTGAGGTGGTAAGACAGGAGATAGAGAAGAAATATATAGATTAGGTGGTAATGTGTAAAAATTCTTTGTAAAATGTTTTGTATAAATGTAGGTTATTAATTATTGTTACCTAAAATATTAATTACTATTTTATAGATGCAGAAAGAATTGCTTGACACAGAGCTGGATTTATATAAGAAGATGCAAGCTGGAGAAGAAGTCACTGAACTTAGAAGGAAGTATACAGAATTACAGCTGGAGGTATGTTTCATCAAAGCAGCAGAGGAGCAGATGTAGTTATGGTGGTTTATTTGAAAACACATGCCCCTCATGCTAGTCAAAAATTCTTGGCAGTCTCTGGCATACATATTGGGAGTTGATATAGGAAAGAGGGAGTTTAACAAATTTTTTAGAGCTAATACATACAATCTGTTCTATAATGAGGGATGGCAGCTGTTCTACCTATATACCTGAGTCCTTCCATTTCTAGTGAATTTTGCTACTTTTCTGGTTTTTGTCTGTCCTTCTCCCTGGATTAGAATCTATTAAAAGCTTTTCAGCTATTATTTCACAGATATCCTATGCATAAATAAGCATATTTTATTAAGTCCTATAAGGATCAGACTTCTAGCATTAGTACTATATCGAAGAACATGCTTAAGTTTTGCCTATAGATGGTGCTGTGGATATTTATAAGAGAGGAAATAAACTACTTTCTTACAGTCATATGATTATTTATATAAAAAAAATCAAGTGAAGTTGATTTATATACATGAGAATTTTTAACATTTAGCAAAATGATGTATAAAAATCAGAATTATATTTTTAAGTACAGGGAAATTAATGTCATCAACATATTTGGTACTTGTCTATATTTATTTGGTGTTCCAATTTAATTTTAACATTTTAGATTATTACTTTTGCTTAATCTGAGAAAATAATTCTTTTACACATTTGCTAGCCACTTGATCATCTTTTTCTGACATAGCTCAAATCATCCAGGTGTTAAAGATTTAGCAGTTAGCAGCCACTGCATTTTTTCTTAAAGCTCTCTCTTATCTAACAGTCATAGGAAGCCATAGGATGGTGCCCCTAAACGTGCATATTTTGTGTTCTGTAGAAATTTGATGCGGTTACCTGTGTGTCCTGCCCACAGTAACAGGTTTTGGAAAATACAGATTTCTTTTTTGTTAAAATAGAAATTGTGTTTTCCCCATTCTGGAGATTCGATGCCTGTGTTGGTGGGGCTTAAAAAAATTATCATTTAAAAAGTTTGGCTAATAATTTTAGTAAATAAATAATAGTATTACTAATAATTTTACTTGTCTGTGTTTTAGTTCTTTATCATGATATAGCCAAACACTGAATAATTTGTGTTTTTTTTATTCTTTATTTTTTATAATGGCTAAACTTTGGCCATTTAGTTTGCAGTCAGTATATGCAGTAATGCAGTGTCTCCCAGAGTGTGGTCGTTCACCATACCAATTCCGCCTTTTTGGTTAACAGATATTAGTGAAAAGGCTCTGAGGCCAAGTAAACTTGGAAAAGGTTATATTAAACATGACTTTTGGCTCTCAGGCTTTTAAGAAGCTTTTAATTTGTAAATCTCCAAAAGTACATATTAAAAATTCAGTGTTTCTCAAACTTCTTTGTCCATGGACTCCCTTTTTCAGGGAGCACTTCGTTCTTCAGAGTGTACTTTGGTGTGTGCTAGTCTGTTCTTAACATTAATCCTTGACCTTTGAAGTTTATTTGGGCTTTAGATTATTTTAGCTAACGTTAAGATTTACTGTCTTAAGATAAAAAAATGGAAATATTTATGCTTGCAGAGATTTGGCAGTGGTGCCTGCTTGACATTTCCACTTGAATGTTTTACATGCTCAGACTCAGCATGTTCAAAACTGTGCTTATTTTGACCCTAAACTCCATCTACACAATTCCCAAACCAAAAATCTGAGAGTCTTCATTGATTCCTCCCTTTCCTTCAGTATTCATGTCCAGTTAATTACCAAGCTTTATACATGTTAATTCCAAACATATCTTCAATATGTTTACTTCTCTTGACTCCACTATAGACCAGCTGTCTTCAGTGGCTGGGGTTATTGAAGGAGACCACTGACTGTATCCCAGCTTGTTCTTGTCTTCCTTCTACTCTGTTCTTAAAACGCTTGCCAGAATAACATTTTGAACCCTGATTTTATTACATCACTCTACTTGTCTGCTTTAAATGTTTTAATTCAGGGGTGTCAGACTCATTTTCACTGGGGGCCCCATTAGTCTCGCAGTTGCCTTCAAAGGGCTGAGTGTAATTTCAACTCCTTAACTGTTAAGGAGTAGTTACATTTATACAGTCCTAGAATTGTTTCGGCCCCTAGTTATTAGGGCCCCTGGTGAAAATGAATTTGACACCCCTATTTTAATTGATTTTCATGGATCTTGGGATAAAATTCAAAATCTTTAATGTGATTCTTAAAAGTTATTCATGATCTGGCTCTGTCTAGTTCTCCAGCTTCATCTCTCCATCCCATGTGGTCCATCTTCACTGGATTCTATTCATGCTTTGAAGTACTATGTTCTTTTCAGCTTTGCTCCTTTGTTTATGCTGTAACCACCCCCCTCCCTCTTACCCTGGCCTTGCTTGTTTTTTGTTCTTTCTTTGAGTCATTGAACAAATATTAAGTATGTACAGTCTGCCAGCTACTATTATGTGTGCTGGGGATAAAGTAGAGAATAAAACCAGGGGAGAAAATCCTCATGAAACTTTCATTCTGTTAGTTTACTTATTGCAAATCTTAGGGTTTTGTGCAGATCTTTTGTGTTCCGTTCTTCATTTTTTGAGTCACTTCATTAATGTAATTATAGAATATAAACTTATTTGCTTAATGTCGTCTTGCCCCTCTAAGATTTGAGTTTCATAAGGGTAAGGACTTGTGTGCATAGGAAGTATTCATTAAATGTTTATAGAATGAAAGAATGGTGTGCTATTCATATAGAGTGATGTGGTGGAATATAAATTACTGTGCAACATTGGGATGTATGATGTTACTGTAAGTGATCAAAATAATGAATTTAAGATGAATACCTACCTACTGAAGTCAACAGGGAAACAAATAGAAACACTTCGAAAGTCACAAATGGGAAAATACATTTATCGTGTATGTAGATATTTTATGTGTGTGTTAAATTGACTTCAGAAGTAACATTTAACACTGTTATTTGGAAATCAAGAATTGCTGGTTTTTTTGTGATGATGGCTGATGTCTTGAAGAGTAAGAACTTAGTAGAAGAAAGCACATTTAATAATTTCAAAACATGGCTTAAATTAATTTATTTGCTTTCTGAATTCATTAACTACATAAATTTGCTTTCACTTTAGAAAGTAAAAATCTCAACTGAAATTATGAGATCCTTTTATAGGGCATTATTTTGAATATGATGTCGTATTGTATAAAAGTTTGACTTATCTGACAAAGTATAACAGTTGGCTTGTGTTAGTAATTGTGATGTTTAACCTGTGTGTCTAATTTCTTTTAGGCTGCAAAACGAGGGATTCTTTCATCTGGTCGGGGCAGAGGAATTCATTCAAGGAGTCGAGGTGCAGCTCATGGCCGAGGCAGGGGTCGGGGTCGAGGTCGAGGTCGAGGTCGAGGTGTGCCTGGTCATGCTGTGGTGGATCACCGTCCCAGGGCATTGGAGATTTCTGCATTTACAGAGAGTGATAGAGAAGATCTTCTTCCTCATTTTGCGGTACTTTCTTACTGCACAACAAAACCAGTATTGATAATCATTGTTGGGGATCATGGATATATTAAAGGGGAAATTATGAAAATGACATGAGTAATTTAAACCCATTAATCTGACCAAAGAGTTTGATTAATTTATAATGTTATCTTTTAAATAACAAACTGTAGGGGTTTTTGTTTGTTTAATTATTATCTGGAAGAAATGTTACCATTCTTACACTTAGTAGGCCTTTAGATATTGTGAAATAAGCGATTTAAACTATTGTTTTTAGAGAGGAAAGTCCTATAATTTAGTTTTATCTAATATTTTTAAAGTTTAACGCATTGCTATGGGTCATGCAGATTTTTTAAATTAAGATGGAACTTTTATTTATTAATATTGTATTCTTGATCGATCTAGCCAACCTAGAAATGAAACTGCTACTGGTCACAGTGGATAAAAATTATAGCTTAAAACTTGTAGAGCACTTATTTTTGGGGAGCTATTCTGAGTGCCTTATATAACTCATGGTGTTATGAATTATCTTGACAACTCTGTGAGGTAGGTGCCTTTTTTGTACTTGTTCTAGAAATGAGGAAAGTGAAGGATAAGGAGATTAACTTACTCAAGTGTGCTCAGCTAGTAACCAACAGAGCTGGGATCTGACTGATTATAGAGTCTGTTGTCTTTAATATGCTCTACAGAATTTTTCTGTATGGAGTAGTGTATGCATTTAATGAAATTGTGTTTATAATTTTATTTTGGAGTAAGAAAGAAGGCAGGTATTAATGATATATAAAAAGAAGTATAATTTTATATGATAAAGTTGCTGTTTGTAGAAAAATTCTTCATGTAAAAAATAAAACCTAACCAAAACAAGCAAAATTTCATATGTTTAGCTTTTAAATGGCTTAAAAGAGTGTGTGTATATGTGCGGTCTAGAGAAGTGTATAGTAAGAGTGAAATCAGGATTACTTGGTGTTAAATTTTTGAATCAAAGGACCTGGACTTTTAGTCTGATAACCAACTTAATTATTTGGGGGAAATCACTTAAGTTCTTAGTCTTTTTTACCCCATCTTTAAATTGGAAATGATACAAAAAAAAACCCAAAAAAACAAAACCCTCAGAGAATATTCTGAGGATTAAAATACTCTGCTTTAGAAAGAATTTAGCACATTCCAAGGTCAGAATAATGAGTATAAAAGACTGTACGGAAGCTGTCTTTGAGCATTGTTTCCTTTATTTAAATAATAGTTCAATCAAGTATAAGTTTCCTTAATTCTAGAAAGTATAGTAAATTAAATTGTAAAATAAAGTAAATTGTATTTGGAAGATAGGACACGCCTTATCTTACAGTTATCAAGTACTGAAATGAATTATTCATTATTTTTGTTAATCACCATGAATTTGTTATATGCTCTGGATTATACTATTTGTATTTAAATATTTTAAAAACCATTAGGATTTTGGCTATTTCAAAATATTTATTTGGAGGAAATACTTGTTTTTAATTTAAAGCAATATGGTGAAATTGAAGATTGTCAGATTGATGACTCTTCACTTCACGCAGTAATTACATTCAAGACGAGAGCAGAAGCTGAAGCAGTAAGTATTACAAATACTCTAATTTATTGAAGATTCAGATTTAAGTGTCTTACAAATCTTGCTTTTAAATTTTAATATAAATGAGTTTTTTAACTTACCAAATAACTACATTTTGGCAATAGATAGAACATACAAAGTGTGTCTCCTTTCACAGGAGATAAGGTCTCCCCACTTTTCATTATCATTTTTCTCAGGTGGCCCAGTCTTCTTTGTCAGACTGAGTGGTGAGGGATAAGGTAGAAGCTGAGGGAGAATCTTCGTGGCTGCCCTTCTTAACCATTTGTATTTTCTGCTTCCTAGTCCCAGTTGGCTAAACCCTAAAGAACTGTCCCTAGCTCAGCATATGCCCAACTGTGCCTCTGCAGCTTTTTTGCCCAAGACACGACATATAGCTGTAGCTTTTTAGAGTCTTTTTAGTATTGTTGTCTTAAACTATGTACATGTTGAATTGTCTTTCCAAAGAATGACCACAAAGTATATGCAGCCTTTTCTTTCTTCTGGGTTTAAAAGATCAAAAAAAGGAGAATGGGTATGAGGTGTGGGGGATTTATAGGAACCATTTAAGCCTTGTGTGTTCTTTGTTTAGGATTGTAGAAAAATAGATGTATCATTTTGTCCTTGGAAAAATGCAGTAAGTGTTCCAAATTGGTTATCTAATGAGAATGGAAGAATTTGTTGGTTTTCAGAAGTTTTAGTTGATTGTGGGGTAAATAAGTTTTGGGAAACCTGCTAAAGATTGATTTATCCTTTTTGTAGCTCCTGCCAGCACAGTGGTACATTGCTGGAGTTTACCTGGTAGGAGTTGCTCTTGGGACATTATAACCAATTAAAGACATTGGGTCTGATAAGTTGCAGACAAGTGTTCAGCTGAGCCCTGGAATAACCTAGTTTCTAGGTTAGTGGGGTGGGTAAGTGGATAGTTTTATAGACTAGGAATTCCTTATTCTAAACTTTTGTTTTTATAAATATAGTTTTGACTCCTATTTAATGATCTTTTATGGAAATAAAAGCTTGTAATTTATAATTGATAAGAGTTTAAAACTTTCTTATAAACTTATATGTAAATGTTATATTGGAAAAGTAGATATTTGATAATGTTTTCCCTCAAAGGTATTTTTGAATACAAGTTAAGAATAAGCTTCCTTTAAATGATGGCTTCAGTGATCATTTTCAGTGTAATATTAGCTACATGAGTTGTATTTTATTTTTTAGGAAGTAGTCACATTATAAAACAATGGTAGTTGTTAGTTATTGTATACATGGTTAGAAAATATATTGTCAAGTTTGTGGATTTAGTAACAACTTTTAAAATATATGTATTCGCTCTGCTTACTTATATGGCCAATGAGGGGGAAAATAAGCCTCTTGCCTTTTAGTAGTTTTTGGAGGTTTTGCTCTTGCTAAGACCTATTGACATTTACCTTCTTTCTTGACTCTTAATTTTTCTACCTCAGATGTATAAATTTATTCATTATATATATATTCCAAATGAATAGCAGTCAATTTAAAAGGCTGGGGATTAATGTATAAGAAAGACTTGAACATTGAGTAAGTGATAAAGTAGCTTAAGTTAGATATAATGTAAGTTATCTTTTCAGGATAAATAACCATTTTAGTTGGATTTACTGAATAGGCTAAAAGGAGAAACTGCCATTGATGTGATAAACATTTGGAATTAAGTTGTAGAAGTTGTTAAACCATAACCATTTCCTTAAGCCATAACATTTCTTTAAATTTTGTAACATTCTGTTTTAGAAGAGAATAGAAAATTCAGCTGAAGCTTATACAGGCAGAGTATAAGCTAAAGCACTGATTTTTAAACTTCTGGATTTCAGGGACCATTTAAGTTCAGAAATTTAAAAATTGGTATGTTTGACATAGGGGTGCTGATTTTTAATTTTGTCATGGAAGAATGCTTAAAACGTACAAAAGATACTGCATTTATCATCACCATTGTGTAAAATTTTAATATGAAAATGTCGGAGGATATAGTCAAGATAAAAGACCTCAAGAAACTTGTCAAACTTTGCTAATGTTTATTTTCTAATATTTTTATTTTCTGAACCATTGTTGTAGATGAATGAATGAATGTCTCTTTATTTTCTATAATTGATAGATACAAAATATTTCAAAGTGAAAGTACAGGAATAAATTAATTGAGACATTCAAATATAACTGAAAGGTGAGAAACCTTACCTAGGAAAAAGGCCAACATATTTTAGGAGTAATAATAACAGAATACTTTTAGTATTAGGCTAAGATGGTTATGGTTTGATTCTTACTAGTTAGAAGATGGTTCCTACTGCTTTATTTTCAATTTTCCTATCACCATCCCATGTACTAAAAACAGATTAGTATCCAAACAAGACAGAAAAAAGTAGTCTCTTCCCATGACTGGTTAGAATGTTGTTTTTCCTACTCTGAATTGTTCCTATACCTTTGTAAGATACAAGGATCCAGTTTTAGAAAAGGATGGTTAATCTTCTGTTTCATAGAAATCAGTCTCAAACCCAAAGAGGTGTATTGTAGTAGACCATCCTGTGTGGTGTGAGCCTAGCCTCCTGTGGCAAACATTTACTGCAAAATAACTTCCTAAAAACCATCCTAAACCTTCCAAGGACCAGTGTAACTGGTTCAACCACTTTGGCCTTTCCATTTGCAAATATCCCTCTTCTGTGATATGATTAGCAGCATTGGCTCCTTTGTTTTCTGTAAAAGGTAAGCACCTAAAGTAAACCTGTGCATCTGTAAATGAGGACCATCAGGTAATAGGCGGAGAAACCCAATAAAGGCCTATTAAGGCAGAGGCCGCAGCTTTTGCTCCCCTTGAGAGAAAAGCCATGCTGTCCCTTTTCCTCCACCGAACTTGGTAGTCTGTGTGAATGTCTCATTTCATCCATAATGATGCGGACACTGCGGGCCAGTATCTGCATCGGTGTATAGCTTTTTATTTCAAAAGGAAAAAGAATCTTATTCTGCTAGTACATTTTTGACACTTGTGCTTCAACTCCCAGTAGTTGTGAGGATTCACTAATTCACAAATTGTGAAGTACTTAGAACAGTGCTTGGGATATAGTAAATCCTCTTAATGTTAGCTATAGTTTAATAACTATTAAACTATAAACTATTATTTAATAACTTTTAAACTATTAAACTATTATTGCGGGGTTTGTTTTTTCCAGAAAGAGAAATGTTTGGAAACTGAAGAAAGACAAGAAAGAGGAAATGATTTCAAAATTCTTATTCTTTAGACCTGAAGTTAGAAATAAAAAATTGGGTTCATAGAGAATAGTGCAATAACAGCTAGTAATTGATGGGGCTGACTGAATAATAGTAAATTAATAGCAAGAACAATATGTGTAAGTGAATTCAATCATGAGAAATCAAATCATATATATAGCATAGTCTTTTGTGTATGTTTTTACTGATTCACTTTTAAGTGATGCTATATGATAAGCACTGTGCTACCAGAATTAGTAAATCTAAGTCTAAAGCTTGTTGGGAAGTGGCCATGTAGCTTGGACTCCAGAGTTTAAGGAATGGAAAGAGGTCTTTCCCTGTAAGTTCTAAAAATTAGATTTTACCTTTCTTTTTTTAATTTGTGGTCCTTTAATGTAATTTCTGCCTAAACATTGTATACTGTGGTTATTACAAACATTAATAAACTTGGTTTTAGCTTTCTTTTATAGATTAGTTTTAATCATTATGTTTACTAAAAATGTAAGGTACGCTAGGGTGGGATTGCAGCTTTAACTCTTCTGACCTTAGGTCAGTTTTCCCAGTTTTTATAGAACACTGGTTTCTGCAAGAGCTCCACTAGCAAAGGATTCTCTTGTTAGATAAGTTTGTGAAAAGCTGCATTTTATGTATTTCAAGTAGATTGATAATCTGAGCAACTTGAAAAGGAGAAGGTAAACACATCTGTTTAATTTTGCTTAACTCTTTTTTTTTCCAAATGCTAATTATTTCTAGAACCATTTTCCATGTAGGATAACTGAACCCACCTTATAACTACTTTTCATTCCTTTTTCTTCCTTCATCATTTGTCAGATCTTTAGCCTTTTCCCCCTTCTGTTGTGCATATGCCTCCTTCCTTAGTTTTTATTTTGTTTCAAACTTTGAATGATGATGTGCAAGAATAAATAGGCAAAGGTCTAGGACAAAGCCTATGAATGAAATGCTTTTAACAGTTATCCTTTACATTTCACAGCATAGAAATTAGAATTATGAAATGAACCCCTATGCTCATCATAGAGTTTCAGCAGTTACCCACACACAGCTCATCTTATTTTGTTCATAACTCACCCACTACAACATTTCAATTTATTTTGGAGCCATTCTCAGTGATATAATTTCATTTGTAAACATTTCAGTGTATCTCTCAATGTTAGAGCCTTAAAAACATAATCCAACATAACTTATTACACCAAAAAATAATTGATATTTTCTAGCAATTATTAAATATCCATCAGGGTTTACATTCCCCAATTTTCTTCTTCTTCTTTTTTTAAACTCACTTTGTTTAAGGGTCTAGAATATGGTTCATATTTTGAGATATCTTGATTGGTATCCTACAGTCATGAACTCATAGATCAAAACATTTCATGGGTATTGATCCATTTTTCTCAGTTATTTATGTAGTGTCCAACTTTTGGTCAGCAGCTGGTTTAAAAGTTTGTTTCTGAGTCCTTTTGACAGGACCCTAATGGATTATGATAGTATCTTTCCTTTTGGTATGAAAAGGTGTTCTGGGTTGATCTTACTCATTTTCTCTTCCAGTCCTGGGAATTGGCCATTTTTTTTAAGGAGCTCTGATTTTTTTTTTTAAGCTGAGCAAAGGTATTTAGAGATGACAGCCTGAGTACTAGGGGTGCTCATTACTACTGAGTATGTTACAGTCACTATCCTTTCCAGTGGTCAGAGCTAGGAGTAAAAAGTATATACATACATTCATGAACACACATACACATACTCACATGTATATTCTCATATATATACGTGTATAAAGAAAATTCAGAGCTAATATTTTTCCCTTTAATTCTGAACTCTGTAGGGTTTTGTACACATATGCACACACGTACTCATAGAGAGGTAGGAAGAAAGAAGAAGAAGAACTTGGACTAATACTTGCTAGTTAATTCTGGATTATATGCTTTTTACTGCACTTACATAATCACAAGGGTCTCTGTATCTCTTTTTCATGCTAAAAACACAGCATTTCACTGACAACAGCATAATTAGTTATGCTCTGCATATGTCTGAAAATAAAAATATCACCTTTACCACAGATAATATGATTGCTGAGAAGAAAAGTTTAATATTTCTGAGTTCTGTATGGTTTATTAATCAGGTATATACTGTGTATACATATTTCAAAGTATTTGTAGGCATTGAGACCATTTTAATGAATGTAAAAATTTTAAATGAGGAAGGAAATTTTAGATGACAATCATCTTGTCTTTCTGACTTATTGTTATGGTTGTAGTTGTACTTTATATAGTAATTAGATGAATTAACAACCCTTTTTTAAAAAAAATTCCTTTTCAGTTTCAGAATATGGTTCAGTAAAGTAGGGGTTATACAACTCTTCAAAAATTATTGAATTTTGACAGCATACATTAATGTATTGATAATGTTCATTGTGTTAAAGGTTGATGGTTTATACATTTGAGTGTTTTTTCTACTTTAAAATATAGCTTTAAATTTTAGTTTTAAAATCAATGAATTTTTTGGATAGATAATACATGGTCATGACATAAGAACTCCAAAGGTTGTGGAATAAGAAGTAAATTGTCTTCTCATCCTTTTCCTTAGTTTTCTCCCTGCCCAGACATTACAAATATATTTAGGTGTCTTTTTTTGTTGATGTTTTCATAATGAGCCTATAAATCTACAAGAATATATCTTTTCCTCACAGAAATGATAGTGTATGTGCAGAGTTCTTTACCTTGACTTTTTACACAATGCCAGTCTATCCTCAGATAATTTCATATTAAGAGCTGCCTTATTTCTTCGTTGTCGCATAGGTATTTCATTATATGGATGCACCAAATGTAATCAGCCGTATTGTCAGGCTTTGTTTTTATTCTTTTACTGTTCAGCAGTGAAAGTACTCTTGGTGCATATTTATCTGTACACATGTGAGTATGATTATAGGGTATGTTCTTGATGCATTACTGCTGGGTGGAAGGATATGTGCATTTAAATTTTTAATGGATAGTTCTGAAATTGCCCTCCATACTAGGTTGTACCATACTTGCTTATCTACCAAAGATATGTTTTGTAAACATTAGTATTTTTAACTTACTGAACAAAGTCACCAAATATGTTTGAGTGCCTTTTCTCCACACTCTTGCCATAGTGTGTACTATACATAGCAGTTGTACCAATTTTCTTACTTAAAAAATCCGTGGGTATGTAAGTCATAGTGACATATCAAACAGTTTCATTTTTGTAAAATAGCAACTCATTTCAGTTTTATTTCACTTTTCTCTTTATCAAAGTTGAGCAGTTTTCAGCCAATTTCCAAGCCAGTGTCTGAAATCACTGTTTCTTTCCCTCTTTCTCTTTCCTTTCTTTCTAAAAATAAATAAACAAAATCTTTAAGAAAAACTAAAAAATAAAAAGCCAGAAAGACAAAAAGCATCAAAATAACTAGGAATATTCTAAAAATTATGAGGAATGATCATTGAATTTATCATGAAATAATTAATATAGTAATGATATGGAACAGGGTGGTAATAGAACACAATAGAGTTTAGTAATAGACCTAAGTAAATACAAGAATTTTAGCAAATAACAAAAGAAGATGTTGTATTTAAATCAGGGAATAAACCAAATTATTCATTAAATAATGTTGGGATAACTGACTGGAATAAAAAAGACATATGTCTTTATTTTTTTATATCAAACTAAATTCAAGTTGAATAAATTTTGTTTTGTTTTAATACCTAAGACTAGGAACAACTCAGGATCTCTGAAAATACTCTTAGTGTGGCGAGAGCTTTTTACGTCCTTGCAGAGAATCTTGAAGCTATAGAGATAAATGTTGATAAATTTCAGTTTATGAAAATTTAAAACTTCTTTGTGGCAAAAACAGCAGCAACCCTTCCTCCTTGAAGAAAAACATGCATATAAAGAAAATATCCAGTTGAGAAAAAAATTATTTTGTCATGAATATGACAAAACTATTCAAGAAATTGGTTTAAATATGATAAATAAGTGTGTGTGTGTGTGTGTGTGTGTGTGTGTGTAGCCATTCAAGAAAAGTGATACATTTATTGGTATGGATATAGAGAAAGGATCTATGAAAAACATGGCTTAATAATATAAAAAGAAAGTAATAAAAACTGGTAAAGTATGCTTCCACATATGTATCATACATATGTTTGTATGCAAACCCTTTTAGTATCTATGTAGGACTTTTTTTCAAGCTCTTCATTGAATGGTGGTTACACTTAAGGATGGAGTAATAATGGATTATGTTTTTCATTCATGTGACTTGAAGTTTTAATTTTTTTTAATTTTTTTTTTTAAAGATTTTATTTATTTATTTTTAGAGAGGGAAGGGGGGGGAGAGAGAGAGAGAGACAGAGAGAGAGAAACATCAATGTGCGGTTGCTGGGGGTTATGGCCTGCAACCCAGGAATATACCCTGGCTGGATATCGAACCTGGGACACTTTGGTTCCCAGCCCGCGCTCAATCCACTGAGCTACGCCAGCCAGGGCTTGACTTGAAGTTTTTAAAAAATAAAATGGGTGAGTTGCAGAAGAAATTTTTAAATTTTAAAGATTTTATACTGAAGAAGGGAAATAAGGAGGATACATAGTAATGGAAAAAATACAATAAAAATAAATTTAACAAAAGATTTTATGTTACAGATTACATGAAATAAGTTTATATCTTCAAAAGGTTATTTAAAAAATTTACACAGCAAAGTGGCCAAGTTTCTAACGGAACAGTTAATGGAAAGCTAAACATACCTAGCTTTGAAAATCATCCTGTAAATAATTTTAAAGTTAAAACTTAAGAGAATTGTAGACTTGCCTTATAAATATGAAGAAGCATATGCTGAATATAGAAATTTATAATATTAGGTCACCAGAAGTTTTTGTCAAGAACTTACAGAAAATGTCACCAACATTTTTTGCCTTTTTAGCTGGATGATGAGTTTTTTTGAGTAAACATTTTGCATGAGACCATTGGAATTCCTTACAGTAATATATTTTTATGTAATAGTTATATCTTCAAAAATTACAAGTTTCTGAACTTAACTCTTATGTATTAAGTACTTAAAAAATTAGTTACATGACATTGTGAGAAGGCTGTGGACTAAAGACTGCTGAGCTGCATTTTGAATCTTTTAAATTTATCATAAATTTATATGTACAGATTTTAAATTTTTTATACCTGAGGACTTTAATATCACACTACTCATGGTCAGATCCTTGAACATGTAACTTTTTACATTTCACATTATGCTGTACTTTGACATTGTGCTATTTTGTTTTGTTGCCTACTTTGCTTTATATTAGTCCATGTTACTTTAACTTACACAATTTCCAAAGCAGCCACTTAATGTGGCAAATACTTAGACTTTATTACTTTTGTTTTATATGCCACTCTGAAAGCTTTGTAGAAAGTACTTCAGTTTGTAAGAGAAAAGTTCAGGATTTGAGATATTTATATTTTATTTATATTTTATAACAGTAATATATCAAACACTTTGTGATCACGTGATGTAATTGAAAAATAATGTGCTATTTTGTACATGAAAAATTATACTTCTGTTAAAGTTTTCTTAGTTATAGTTACTATATGTGCCATTTGTAAATTAAGAATTAAAATGCAGTGAATAACATTTAGCCTGTTGATTCTAATTTAGACTTTGATTCAGCATCTTGAAGTACTTTGAGACTGTTGCCTTGAATGGCAATTATCATTGTATTGTAAACATGTAGACATAGTTCTTCTAGTCAAATCGTGGCCAATAGTGAATTAACTCCAATCAGTTACGAGAAATTGTTCTTGTTTTCTTTGTAAAGGAATTCCCAGTCATTATACTGATGTTAGAAATAACCATAAAAAGTACATTATAATATGTCATAAATAGAGAATAACCAGAAAGCAAATTGACAGCTGTCTTCACTGTGTTTAGCTAATTTAATTTAAATATTAAATAACATTTTATTTTTTTCTTCCGAAATTATTAATGTTTTATATTCCCATGTCTTAATTATTTTAGGCTGCTGTTCATGGAGCTCGTTTCAAAGGGCAGGATCTAAAACTGGCATGGAATAAACCAATAACTAATATTTCAGCTGTTGAAACAGAAGAAGTTGAACCTGATGAAGAGGAAGTATGTTTTTGTTTTTCACTTAGTTTTGTCCTTACATGTTCACATTTTTATATAAAATGTATTTATGGCTATAATTTAAACATAAACCTTATTTCTGAGCCATATTTCAGACAGGGATAGCAGATAAATGCAGACAACTTTATGTTTTCTGGATTAATGAAATCTGTGGATTGCTAATCCAAAAAGAATACATTAAAATCACCCATACTCAGTTTTCATTTACCGTTAGAAGAAAATAATTATTCATTAGATTTTTATCCACAGGAACTTACAATATTTCAGGTTCTAGAGTATGCTCAGTTGCTTTATTAATCTTTCAGGTATCTTTTATTTTAATTTATACTGTTTTAGGTCACTAGAGTGAATGGCTGCTATATTGTAGACACTGTGATAGGCATAAAAATGAATAAGACACGGTCCCTATCATTAAGGAGCTTATAATCTGCAAAGGGGGATGGTGGTAACAGACACAAAGAAACTAATTATAATAAAAGGCACACTGATATGCTGAATAGAGATTTGAACAATATGCCGTCGGAATCCAAAAGAAAAAGTGATTATTTTCATCCAGAAGAATCTTGAAAGGAGTTGCTAACAGTGGAGCTGAACCCTCAGTGATAATAAAGCTTTCCTTAACTGAGAGAGCTGGGATGGGGAATATAGTTGAGAGGATATTTGAGTGGAGGGTTGGTGTGGAAGATTACATTCTTCTTGAATAACAGCAGTTAGTCTGATGACTTGGACTTGTGAGCATAAAGAACAGGGAGCCCTTTGAACAACCCAATATTAAGAATAAGCAACTCTGTTTTGTTTAATCATTAATAAGCTATAGGAAAAGGTGAGGAAGTTAAGAAATAGAGGTAAGGTAGGGGCACTAAAGGAACCCATGTTTTACGTTTAGATTTTCATAGTGTCACTTCACTTTGTTAGAAGAGCATTCAAGGCTGTTATACATCTCCATAGTCAAATGCAAGAATAAATTGTGTCTTTTGAACTCATATACATGATTTGTCATTTTATATTTTAGATTATACCTATGTCCTTCCATGAGTTTGAATTGAATGGGGAGAAAAGCAGGAGAGCTCCTGGTATTAGGTATTTTGAAAAGTTTGAAAAGCAGTCCTAGAAGGTCTTACAAAAGGAATAGAGAAAATAAAGGAGTGCTATAAAGAAAATGTTTGTTTACATACAGTAGAAAATCTGTATAGATTTTTATATAACTTGTTGGTTGATTTAGTGTCCAGAGTTAGGGTAAGTCAGAGAAGACTTACTGATGTTTTCTTTAAAAAAAATTCTAAGCAGTGTTTTGCAGAAGGTAGCATCATTTGGTAAAGAGAGGCAGGGGAAATGGCATGTACAAAGGCTTACTTTGATAATTCTTCAGTGCCTGTATGATGCAAATGAGAATAGATATTGTAGAGAAACCACTGAGTCCATAAAGGTTGCTTTTCTTTGTTTCTTGAATGTTCTAGCTATAGAAATACCTTTTTTGTATTCGACTCTGTTGGGAGAAATGTGTATTTAAAAGTGTCACCTTTTTCTTTTTTTTCTTTTTTTTTTTGGTGTAAATTCCTAAATGCATTTTAACCTAAAGTTTCAGGAAGAGTCTATGGTGGATGACTCATTACTTCAAGATGATGATGAAGAGGAAGAGGACAATGAATCTCGTTCTTGGAGAAGATGATTTGACTGATCATTGATCTACATGTGCTAGAACTCTACCTGTGTTTCATTAGTATTATCTAATGTACTTTTACATATTTGTAAAAACAATTTTTGGTAAATGTGATGGAGATGGATTTCACAAATAGACAAAAGAGAAGAAAACTACCTTCTGATCCTGTATTTTGAAAGATTGATGTTTGCATTTTATTTCAGTAAACAGTTGCTAAAGACATACTAGAAACATGCAATGTTTTTATTACAAACTTCTACTGAACATTATGGAATTCTTTGGGTTCTTTGTAATTTAATGAATAGGTCTGAAAACTTATGACCAATACTTGTTATAACTTAGAGGATTTTGTTTTACTCCAAATAAGGAATGAATTTGCATTTAAAATCTTAATGAATGTTTTCAAAAATGAATAGATAACATAGTACTCTAACTAAAATCTCCAAGTATGTACTCATATTATTACATAGTAGTATGCTTAGGCTTTACTATGTATTAGCCTTTTGTTGGACTTGTGTATGTATTTTACCATATGGGTTTCATTGATAATGGTGTATAACTGCTTTGCATATGACTCCCTTCTTATGCATTCAGATGTTTAAAATAAAGTGGAATGGTCTCTTAAAAAGAAAAGAAAAGAAAAAAGTAATGACAAAAAAAAAAACAAAACAATACAATGTTCCTTGATTTAAAAAAAAAAAAGAGAAAAGAAAGAAAAGAAAAAAAGTTAAAGTAGACCATTCCTGATGGTAATATACCCTTCCCCCCAATTATCACAAAAGGAGCTATAATCACTAACCTACTCTTAATAATAATGGTTACTGGTACCTTTACAATAATGTACAATCCAATGTTTAAAATTTATACCACTTCAGTTTGGTTTGATCCTATAAATTTTCAACAGATGTCTTAAAATTTAAAAGCAGGCTGATTAGTTTGGACCCAGACTTCAAGTAGAGCTAACATTTGGTGAATAAGAAAACCATCACATTACATTTTGGATGTATGAAAGAAAACTTGACCATTTGAAGATGTATGAATAAAGAAATGTACTATAGATACTGCTTTAGGAAAACACTGTTTGGTAAGTGTTTCAGTCTGATATTTTAAGTGTGCATTTCCTATACTGTATAAAAATCTTTGACATTTGCAACAATATTGTGATATTTTATGTGGGTATCTCTGGCAAGTGAACATGATCACTTAAAGTTGATTCAGGAAATAAATGCATACTTTGTAGAATGAGGGGGTGGGAGATGATATATTTACATTTTTTAATTCATTTCGGTTACAAGTGTTTCTGCTCCTTCTGAGGTAATAGTGATTACATTAAAAATCACATTACAAACAGCACTTTCTTTACATACTGTGGTCCTCACAATCACAAACTGTAATTCTACCACCCATAGTCTTCGGCCAGTGGGGTGACTAGTGGGTTTGTTCCATACTCAGGGTTAAAGTTACTTACATACATGTTCTTGATAGTAATACTATTTCATAGGAATATTTTGACTTATAATTGATACATTCTGTTTGTATTTAAAATTCTAAAATCAAATTTCTTTTGTCAAAATGGTGACTTTACTTGAAAACTTCTTTATTTAGATCTGTGATATACTTTTATATAGTCTCTTGTATGTTGACTATGTGCTATTCTGATTTGTTAGGTAAGTTTGTTTTCTTTTCTTTTTAGTAGTCGTGAAAGTGCCAAATTGGCAGAGGCTCACGTTTCTTCTCTTTACACCAAACAGGTATTATAAAGAAAGAAAATCTTTTAAAGGCCAGTTAAATCTCCTTGATGATTTTTGGCTTCATAATCTGATTAGTAAATTTTTGCCTGATATTTTAAAAGTTACCGTAAATCACCTTATAAAGTAACTGAGATTACCTATTATTTATTTAAATTCACAAATAGGTAATTACTTTTCCTAGTTTTACATTCTCTAGTAAGGTAAGCCATTTTGCTGTGAATGAATCTGAAGACAAGTTTATTTTAGTTTGGTCCTGAAGTATGGGGATTAAATACTAGCAACATTCATTAGGCTCACAATTATATTTTTATTAGCATTAATATGATTTTATAAATATTAGATTTTCATTGCTATTGAACTGTTAAAATTAATATGTTTTCAAATACTAGTATTCTACATGTACTTTCATCTGTTCTCATTTAAAACTGAAGATATCCCTTTAAGGTGGTTGTTAATTTCCATTTTACAGATAAGGAAACTTGGGCTAATAGAAATGGAGTGACTTGTCTAAAGTCACAGCTGGTCATGGGAAAGACTAGGTTTGAATGTATGCATTCTGGTTCCAGTGCCAGCTATCAATTTTTTTGAAAAAACTCTACATTGCTACCTCCTTTTTAATTATTGATTGAGCATGACATCATGTGTGCAATAAATATGGTAGTTCTTGCACAATATTAGTAGACTTCTTGGTCATTAGCCAGTTTATACCTTTACCCTCCCTTTTAATACAGCACTTTGTTCATATCTCTGTTACAAGTACTTATGTTGTAATACAGTTTATCTGGTTTATACATCTGTCTTCCCCACTAGATTACAAGCTCCTCTAGGAAGGGGACCATGTCTTATTCATCTTCTTATCTCTAGTGATTATCACAAAGCCTGACTCTTATTGGGCACTAAGATGTTTGTTGGATGAATTAATGAATGAATGCATATTTGAACCTCCAGTAATGGAGTGGCAGTTACCTTCCTTGTGAATACTTACCAATTTTTCAAAAATATCTCTTGAAGGTCTTCTCAGTCATTGGGACCATTTTGCCAAACTGTTGCTATTAAGCATTGTACCACTGAGGTTACAAATGCTGACAGGAATGCATGTGTAGTCCTAGTGGAATATCTGTAACAATTAGTAAGCCATTAATATTTTAGGGAATTAAATGTTGTAGGCAGCTGCAGGAGTAAAATGGCTTTTTGGTTTCGGAAATGGCAAGAGCCACCAATCTAGTCCATCCTACTAATGTTTTATATCCAAAGATGACCTAGCATAGAGTGCTGGACAAGGGTTAAGAGATTTAGCTTTTGGTCCCAGCTCTGTAACTCACTCTGTGACCTTAGACAAGTCTCTTAACTTATCCAGGGCTGTTTCCTTGTCTGTAAAATGAAAGTGGCTGGACTAGATGATCTCTAAGATCCCTTTCACATCTGTAGCTTCCCTGGTGTATATAAGTGTTTAATCTAAAACAATTTAATACATCTATACCAACTCTGCGTACGTGTTGCTGCTATTGTTTCTATCTTATCAATAGAAACAATTTTGATTTGATTATCATAATTCATATTATATGTCTTAGTACAGTTTTGTATGTGGTATTTTCAAAGCTTGCCTTTGCCAGCACAAATTCCATTCAGCCTATGAAGTACAGATTAACTTCTGTATTCACTAGCATGTTTCCTCTCTACTTGCAACTTTTCCATTCACTTCTGAACTCAAAGTTTTAAACTCTTTCCTTATTATAATATGCTACCTAAAATGTGAAACATATTTTTAATTACAGTTATAACAAGTTTTTTGCTTTGGTACAGATCTAGGCTGAGTTGGGACTGAAAAAAGGATTGAGAGTGATGTAGGTAGATATTTGTTATTGGAAAAAATTGAGGGAAATTATGTATTATTGGTTAAAAGATTGAATAGGGTTGTCTCAAGGGATGGTTGAGTTGTTATTTTACATATTTCAGTATTTTATGTCTTTGCCTAAGCAGTGTTTTAAATGTTGTTGGATGAGGTAATATTTTCAAAATTAATTTTAATATTTAACCAATCCCCAGGCATTTATTGAAATCATGTAGGAATGGGAGAGTATTCCATGGTTCTTGTTTTATTGTAATATGACCAGATGTATCATAGTAGTTTACTGTGAAGACAAGCCTTCACTTTTGAGCTCATTATCTGTAGAAAGTATTGCTGAGCTTAACTGAAGGAGATTTCCTGTCATTAGAACTGTTTTGTGAGGATGGCATTTCCAGTCATACTTGGAACAGTAATCATTGGTTCTAAGGGTTACAGAAAGAAAGCAAACAGTTGCATGTTTGGTGTGTTAAAATATCAATGGCTATATTACAGAATTGTACAAACTTTATCATCTATTTTCTTTTTTCCCCTTACCTGTAATGTGAACTAACTATAGAAAATAATTTTTACTATTTCTAGAATTTATGTAAGTACTATAGTAAACTATTTTTTCTTTCACAAGAGACTTTTTAGCCTTTTAAAACAAAAATATACTGCATGAAATTCTGGTTAGTTCACTTTTTGGTCTTTCTCAGGGTTTTTCTTACTTTTCTAAAACCCTATAAATTTAAAAATAGAAATTTAATCTAGTTTTAAATTATGAGTATACTATTTGAAAGGCAGGAAGAAGATTTCCTTTTCCCAGACCTCAGGAACTGCCTTGCTCTTGTATACTTCTTGAACTGGTTAGTATGCAGGTTTTTAGAGAAGAGTAGGTTTTTTACTTGCTCTGATTCTTATATACCTATCAGATGACAGGAGATAATTTTCCAAAATAGCTTCTTCAAAGTCCTAAAAAACAAATTTCGGAGAACATGACTGCCATTGCTCAGTAATTTCTAATGAAAACATAGCTTAGTTGAAAAATTTCTAATTTGGTAATAAATAACTTTCTTGCACTTTGTAAGTATGATGTTACTACTTAGTATAATTGAAAATATTTTTTATTTTACCTTTTTGGTATCATTTGATTATATTTGCTCCTCCCTAATCACTCTTTCTTGTTACTTCATCTCTCCACTCCCCTCCCCATCATCCAAAATTAGTCTTCCTTTTTATACCAAGGACTGTCTCATTTTGGTGTGTTCCTTTTTATTTTTGTTGTTTAATCATTGTGCTTAGTATAGAATTTTATGTCATATATAGTGTGACTAAAGAATGAAATGATTATCATGTGGAATTTAAAGAAATTAGATATACGTTGCAGTTACTTTGAAATCTTCAGGAAACAATTATCTTAATTGTTTTTGCTTTCATTTTTATATATAAAATCTTGACATTTGTTCATGATTTTTTCAAATTACTTTGCCTACCCACACCTCTAAAAATTTGCTATTTGGTTGGTTACTACATTTCCTAACGAAAATTTTTAGATCATAGTCATGTGGTAGGGCTGTGATTTTTGCAGCTTAGTGTTTTAAGGAAGCATGATGCAGAGAGGTTTTGTTAAAATCATTTTAAGCCATAGTTGATCTTTTGTGAAATCTGTCTACAACATTTATTTTGATTCTTTCTCAAATAGACTTTTTTGATGTTTAGAAAAATTGGAGGTCAGTTTATGGTGTGATTCAATTTTTAGATTTATTTACTATTTTCAGTTTTTTTAATAGTCTTCTCTTTTTCCAGCAGAGAGAGACCATCATTGCCTGAATTTAGCTTTGACTACAGCAGCAAGATCTGTTCCCGTCTGGAGACGACTGTTACAATGCTACCACCCTGGCATTTCATGTTTGCCCTTTATCTATTTGAATAGGTGTTTACATGTGCTACAATTAGCGTTTTATCTTTACAGTTTCTAAGGGCACATCTGAGTCCAGAAGTATATCGGAGTGTCTGCTTTGTTTTACCTTATTCTTAAATATTTTCCCCCTTACTTTATAGCCATTTATTTTTTTATACACCGTAAGAAGGCAAAAGACCTCTTGGTTTCCTAATGTGACGTAAGTTCAGTCTCAGCCAAGTTGAGAATTGTGTCCAGGAAATCTGTAAAGCTGTGATGCTGTTTTAATTCACATGAAAAATTTAGAGTGAAGAAAATGATTAAAATGTTAATTTTGGGTTTAGTTTAATTTTGAGAGGGGGTTCAGTGGTGTACGTTCCAGAGTTAGAATAGTCCCTTAAAATGATTTCAAACAGATGGTAAAATACTTTTTTACTCACCCTTGCTTATTTCTTCTAAATATACTTAGTGAAGTTGTTCCCAAGACCACTTACCTGAATAATTTTTTTAATATTCTTAGGTCTTCAAAACCAACAGTGAGACAATTTTTTGTCTTTTCAAGTATTGCAGAATGACCTGTGGAGTATAAGTATTGAAAAAATATCTATTAAATGTCTAACTTACACAGTTTTTCCATACTTTCCTCGCACTCACGACATCAAAGACAATCTTAAAAGCAAGGGGAAATAATGTTGTGTGTTTAACATTGTTAAAGACCATAGTTTTTCTATCTTAAAAGGTGTATGCCCATATTATTTATTAATAAGCAGTATGGCTTAGAATTATTTATAGAGTATGATTCAGTTTAATCCTAGGTATTTACCCCAAACACCCTTTTTATAATGGGCATCAATTTCAAAACCAGTTTTCAGGAAATCAATTTTTGAGTATTTCAGACCCTTGTGAGGCATTTGAAAAGTTGGAGGTTATACTTGGTACAAACTCTTCATTGGAAAAGTCCAAATGGCAGTTGATTATATTCACCCTTGTTCATGCTATATTTTCCTTTTGTACGCGTATGCAAAGTTGACTGTTCTGTAAACATTTCTTTCTTGAGTATGCGTTGCATTTGTCTTCATGAAAAATAAAAAGAATGAACACATCAGTCATAACGTAAATGATCTATTTTGATCCACTTTAGTTGGAGACAGCATAGTTAATATTAGGCATGGTATGAAGGAAAAGTACATACTTCGGAAGGTCTTCTAACATAATTATGACCTAATATGTGTACAAGGCCTTTTTAAAAATAGACTTTAGTTTTAGTTTATATTTGCAAACTAGCATATAGTTGCAGGGAATTTGTAAATATTTTCCCAGATTAATTCAGTATTTTTTCAAGGAATGATTCTCTGCCCGTCCAGTAATGGTTTATGTGCTGCATTAGAAACCCAAAGAACATTGTCTGCAGAGGCCATATTTGCTGCTCCCAGTTTTAGCTGGTTGTTGGATGTGGACCACACACTACCGCCCTCAATGTTTTTTTGTCATCTTCCTGTTTTTCCCTTGCCTTTAAATTAAAAACAAAATAAAGCAAAACAATATTGAACTTACCATTTGGAATCAGAGTTCAGGTGATTTGATTCTCAAGATCATTGCACTTTTTAGAAATTGCTGTGAGATCCAGTAGGTCAGTTACATAAATTCCCATGTTGATGAATTAAAGATAAGGATTTCTTATTTCATTTTCCTGAGTAGAATTCTCATGGAGCTCTGTGTAGTTAACTGTGCAGAATCACTTTTGTGTAATTGAATGAAGCAGTTTATCTTTGCATGATTGCATTATGGAAGCCTTTTTATATATATCTTTATATTTTTCAATATACTTGGATTTTACACTACTAGCTGCTCTAGTCATGCTATATTTGTTTTTCTAAAATAGAGTTTATAAATATTTATGCTCAAAATACAGATCAATTGAATATTTTGGTCTTGTTTACAAGGTAAATAATACTTTAAAGTGATGCAGCCTCAGAGTGTCTTAGGAAAAAGTCATTGGTGCTATAAAATCTTTCAGTATCATTTTTGAGCCTGTTTTTTAGACTTTGCTAGGCTTTAATCTCTGATTGCTTGTGACTTATTTTATTCTCAGAGCATAATTATAAAAACGTGGTCGGTGGTTAGTAAAGAGCCCAGCCCATTAGAAACACCCCATAATTTAAAAATAAGCAGAGTGACATCATATTTATTTGTGTCCAGCTTCCCAAAAGAAAATAGTTTGTTCAGTTTGTCATCAGCTCTTTTGAGTAAGAGGAATGGTGTCAACCTGGCCAGAATTTTAAAAAAAGATCATTTAGCTTGGCTCAGTTTTCCTGTCTCCGTTTCAAATGGAAAACTTGTCTAGTCCCCAAATATGGTGTAATCCTGCTCTGCTCTAAATTCCCATTTGTCTTTTACTCAACAAGATGCAGGGTAATTCTTAAGTATTTATAGAATATTTGATGAGTTGAAAGAGATGTATTATTTACATTGTACAAGTTTTGTGTTAATGTGTGGATTGTTTTCTACATCCACAAGACTTCATTCCAGCACCTTAGTGAATGTTCTTAAGATTCAATTCTTAAGTATCAACAAAGCATTCATAGATGTGATGTTTATTTTTGATTCTCAGAATCCTGAAACCTGTTTTGGGTGTGATAGAACATGTCTGGCACAAGAGGTTCTTTAATAAGTGGTTTAATTTAACTCAGTTTCTGTGGATTGTTGAACCTTAGAACACCAAAGGAATCTTTTCTTGTCTGGAGACTGGACTGTTACAGTTTTTAACACCTGTGCCCATACGTGTCCATTTCACCAGTGTGTGTTGGCATGGGGAAAAAATTCCCTGCTCTTTTAGTGGAGCAAAAGTAATTGGTGAAGCTGTAGCAGCTTTTTTGTTTGTTTATTTTTAAAGTACTAAAACTTGAACTGAAAAGGGTAAAACTTGAACTAGAGAACTACTCTTTTATGCTTAGAATGTTTATAGTATTACATGTTTATGTGGGGTTGTCAACATTTTTATTTATAGTTGAATTATGTTTTGTTTGTTAAATATCCATGATGTTTATTATTTTTATATTTTGAAAAAATTTTAAATAAAATAGTCTTACCTAAAAGCAGTTGTTAAATTTTTAAAAATTGTCCTGTATCTTGCATCAATAGAAAGAAAAATTTGTAGCCCTCAGGCATTACACAATTGAGAATTCTGAAAATGTTTATATTAAGAAATGGCTTCACATTGCCTCTTCCCCTCTTTGCCCTCCATTCTCACTTTAAATTGTTTTAAGTCACCTTTGGTACCAATGTATTACTGGCCTAATGGCTCCTTTTCTCACACAAATACAAATCTTCCATAGCTTATGCTCCCTAACTACTGCCTCTTTACTGCCAGAAACTTTGTCTTCTATTTGGGGACCAAAACGTTTCTCCTTATCATGAGCAATGAGAACAAAAGTAGTGTTATGTCAGAGAAGCACTGCCATAGACTAAAGTGAAATTTGGCATCAAGTGCTTACACTGCCAACCTCAAAAACTACTGAAAGTGTAGAACTTCCCTCTATAATTTTCAGTTTTAATTTGGGCATTTCTCCTGACCTAATCTGCTTTTCCAGCATTTAACATATTCATTTCATATTTTATCAAATGATAAAATATTTCTTCTTTGCAGAAATACCTTCTGTATCTATCATCTGTAATCTGGGTTAAATAAGCTTGGTTTCCACTAGTGACACTGCTTCCATGAGAAAATACATTATCTCCAAGTGCATAACTCTTGATAAAAATATAGCCAGATCTGAATGTGAAATAGAGGACTCTAGCTTGAAATAATAGAGAGGACTTTGTTTAATAATGGCACACTTGGTAAAATTATTGAAAGGAGTTACATTTCTTACATGAAGACTGCCAGTCCCTGTGAAATTTTGCAGATTGCACATTTTGTGAGCTTTACCTTAGCCTGCAAAATACTTCTCTATAAAGTATGTATAAATGTGGTCTTTTATATATATTTTTAAAAGATTTTATTTATTTTAGAGAGGAGGGAAGGGAAGGAGAAAGAAGGGGTGAGAAACATCAGTGTGTGGTTGCCTCTCACGAGGCCCCTACTGGGGACCTGGCCTGCAGCCCAGGCATGTGCCCTGACTTGGAATCGAACCAGTAACCCCTTGGTTCACAGGCTGGCACACAATCCACTCAGCCACACCAGCCAGGGCTCATTTTTTAATTTTAACATAAATGGTGCTGTATCTTTGAACATGTTTGATTATTCTTTCAAGATATCTTAGAACTAGTGGGTCCAAAGTATACTTGCTTTTAAAATGTGATACATTTGACCAAATGTAAATTTGGCCTTTTATTTATTTTTCAAGGATTTTATTTATTTTTAGAGAGAAGGGAAGGGAGTGGGAAAGGGATGGCCATTCAACGTGTAGTTGCCTCTCATGCACCCCCTACTGGGGGCCTGGTCTACAACCCAGGCCTGTGCCCTCACTGGGAATCGAACTGGTGACCCTTTGATTCACAGGCCATCACTCAGTCCACTGAGCCACACCAGCCAGGGCTGATTTTTATAAGTTTTTTATGGCACTTCATAAAATTTCAAGAACTATTGTGATTTGATAACTGTATCAAATTACAATAGTATTAAAATTATGGAATCAGGATGGGAATTACATTTCTTAATACCATATCCACTCTAAGAATATGCAAAGAGGTGCCAAGTTATTTAAAGCAACAACAAAGTCCCCATATTTTTTTTATCTCAACTCTCCAAACTGCTTTTTCTTCAAAGTACATTTCCTCCATGAGTTTATGAACATTTGTTACTGAAACTCATGAAACATGAAATAGCTAATGAAAGAAGAATATAGAATTGGGAAGGTAGTGGGTTCTGCATATCTCCCGTCTATATCACAAATGGGAAATTCTAGTTTTTGAACAGATAATTGGGGAGAATAAACTCTTGCAAACTATGAACATTTTCCTGAGCTATCCATGTAATGGTCATGTTTTAGCTAATATTTAACAATATTACATTAATTCCAGTATTTGAGAGTTTGCAAATGTCATGGCAGTTTTTTTAAATTGTCAATCTTTGATTCACTTATAAATTTAAAATATGTATTACTCAAGTATGCAAGAATATATTTTATGTTCAGTGATAATGAGGGTCCTGATTCTGTTTGAAATACAGTCCTCAGTGTATTTGTTTATTAAGATTTTGAGTCATGGAGTTAATGAAAAGACCAACAACTTCTGATTTCAAGGATGATAGAGTGCAGATTACATATGAGAAAAGTCTATCACATTCTTCAAACATTAATGTTAAACTGGTTTTTACCCCAAAGATTTCATTTAAATAAAAAATTTCAGCGACATTACCGGTCTGTTTTTTAAAAGAATATAACAAGAATTCATGGACATCCTGTACTTTTTATTAAAAGTCAGTGTTGGGAAGAAATATGTAAATTGTAGGGGTTATAAGTATTTGCCGTTTTGGAGTTAGAAATGGACAACTGTAGAATTTGTACTAAGTTGAATGCAATATTTGTTTAGTTTTGTGATAAGTCTAATAGGTAATATGCCAGTTTTACTTTTTGTTGTTTAAGTCAATATTCAGTTAGAAAATTAAGGAATACTAAGAAGGCTCTCTTGCTCTTAGCAATTGCCATGTGAATGAGGTAAGAATTTAAATAAAAACCAAAGAGGTAACAACAAATATTCTGACTGCTGATAGGACTATTAGTCATTATTAGTCATGATAACCCTCATGTGTCATATCGTAATACTACATAGATTAAAATTACATGTTAAAAATATACTCTAATCTTAACCCTTTTTCTAGTTAACCCAAAGGAGTAGGACTTTTTAATTTTGCTAAAATCTCTAGTGCAAAAAGGGAGAATCTCTAAATGGGAGCACTCACAAAAGAGTAGAGCCCTCTAAGATGCCAAGGCTGGGAAGAGAAAGGTGGGTTGCAGGTTTAGTCCTGCATTTGTGCAAGATCTGATTCAAAGCATCCTGGAAGCAAGTACATTTCTGTTTTTGTTTTTTCCTCAATTGACAAGTTTTGTCAAGCATCAAAAGACATGAAAATTTCATAGCAATTCTTGCAGCCGAGAGCACAGTTATTTGGGATAACTCTTGTGTTCCTCATGGGAAGCACTCAAGGTCGGGTGATGATAGCCACCTGAGTGAGTTCCAAGGTACTCGACCCCCACCCCGCCAGAGAGCGCCCATTCATTGGCCACAGGAGCACCTCGGCACAGTTGATACTATCACATGCAGCCATGAGCCGCACTGTTCAGACCTAATATCTAGGTTTATTGTTTCAAGATACTTGCTGTGTTGTACCTGTGAACCTGCCTGTGACTTCTCTTGTCCAGCTTGGACTTCGGAATTTTCCAAATGTGAACACTTAGGCCCCCCTGGGTGCATTTCGATCTGTGGCTTTCCACAAACCGTAACACAAAAGCCAATCCTATTTCTGTATACTGGTATGGGGCCTTGGAGACTGAAAAAACAATGCCAATTATAAGCACTGATGGAAAAAATAACACACTTGGAGTAAATCTAAC